AAGTAGATATCTTACATAATATTGCGCACAATTAAACATCTTAGATAATATTGAACCCACTAAAAGAAAACGGTATATCTCTAATCTCTACATACGATACTCCTACAAAAATTGTCGATTTTACTAAGTTGCCCTTCCTTGCATGTTGAGATGGAGGCGTTTTAAAATGAATATAAAACTGCATTTGTCGGTGCATAACAAGGAGCTTTTAAGTAATTTCGTGTATACGTGGGGCAAATGTATATCCTGAATTTAGAGTAGTATCATTGGGTGATCAAATAATACCACTGAATGCATAAAAATAATGACTACTGAATATCCAATGGTATTGCATGTATTAGCTTCTAATGGTATAATTTGAGTGTGGTCCCCATCACATGATGACAATCTAATCGAAAATTGGTGGGGTCCACCAACCTACCTCTCTAATCTTTTCTCCCACATCTTTTTCTCTCCCTTTCATGTGCTTTCACAATATTTAAATGTTTGTTACATATTTGCAAATACATAACAATACTACATTTGTACTTCCTCAAGATGTATCCCACTCGCTCAAGGGCTTCTCTGTAAAATATTGTGACCTTTGCCCGACACCAATGACTATTCAGAGTGTGGCTAATACCATAAGTGGATTTTGATTGATAAAAAATGTAGTAATATATTGAGTTTAACTTCTTATGTTAAGTTGTTAACCAAAATAGTTAAATGGAATCTAGTTTGAAATTTGTCAAAATCAAATCGAATAAATAAATAGTTAGTTGACACTTATATTTCGAACTTTGCATTCAAAAATACCCTGTAAGTTTTTTCCTTCTCCTATATTGATCAATCTCAATCTATTGTAATTAAGAGGCAGGTTCAACTACTCATCATTTACCTTCATATGTTTCGTTTTTGAATGTTATACAGATGTTTGTTTGTTACTCGCTGTCTAATTATAATATTCCCATGCTTTATTGTTTTTCCACGTTAAATATTCATTATGTTCCTTTTATTCTTCACGCTAGAATTGGCTACGGATCTGACACGGGTGGCATAGTTGTGGAGGCTGTGATTGGATATATGGTAGTAGCGGTTAAGAGAATGAGGAGGGAGAGAGGTTAAAAGTCATCTTATATTGCGGTTTGAGGATTTTTTTTAGTTTTTTTTTATTTCGAATAGTAACAATTCGCTTGTAATACGTGGGTGCCAATATAGAATATAACATGTGTTTACAAAAATTGAGTGAGCATTCAAGAACAGTGAGTTTATAACAAAGTTGAATGTTTGAAATATTCACTAAAACCAATAAAAAAAAATACAATATAATTGTAAAATAAAAGAGGTTAAAATTTACAACATTAATCACATAATATAATAATACAACATCGTCCTTTTTTTTCAAAAAATACAAGTTTATCTTTAAGACAAACCATTTTTATTTATCGTTTTCATAAATAAAAAAACTTTTTATTAAAAGTGGGCTCACAGTTGATGATGGCCGGATAAACCAATTAATTTATGCCATGTGAATATGTGATGAGCCTGGACCTCATCTTTTTGTTATTACTTTTCAAAATTATGATGATTCTAAGGAGTTTGATTAATTTTATTTATATAGGTCTTAAAAACAAAAAACTAAAAAACTAAAAATGGGCCCTAAACTTTCGTTTTGTGCATGTATTTTATTTTATTTTTGTATGTTTGTATAACTATTTGGTTATAATAACAAATGATTTTCATTCACAATTGTTAAACGGATAAAGTTATTTATAAAACATCCTCAGAGTAGCAGTGTAGAATACGATGTATATTTGTATTGCACATAAGATTATTATATTCCACATCACCAATTATTTTTTGACAAAAAGAAAAATAATTTCATTAATAAAAGATAGGCAAACGACACTTATAAAATTATAAAATTCCAAGACAAGTACACAACACCTTAGAACTAATTACATCGCAAATTCGAACAGGTACTTTGCTTTCTGTTTCTTTTTGGAAACCCCCCCCATAAGGGTGTTGTGAAAATTAATGTGGATGCTCATGTTATGAGTGGTTCGTATGTGAGTTTAGGGGTGGCTATTCGTGATAGGGCTGGGAAATTTCTCATTGATGCAGTAAGAAAGGTTAAAGTTTTGTGGGAGGCAAGCATAGCTGAGGCAGCTACTACAAGATACGGGCTTCAGCTTGCATTACGGCTTGGGTTTCGCAATGTGTGGCTGGAGGGAGAAATAGGCAATGTGCACAAGGCAATCAACAATGTAGAAATAGGCCGAGCTCCGATTTTTCTATTGTATGATGATATCAAGAGGTTATCTAGTTTGTTTGATTTTTTTCGCTAATTCTCATGTTAAAAGGGGCTGGAATGTATTGGCTCATTTAATTGCTAGATGGGACACAAGGGATAATAATGAACTTAATTGTATGGACTCATTTCCCCAAAGTATTCTTGCTTTGGTGGAACTCGATTTGCAATAATAATTCCCACCTTTTTGTTTCAAAAAAAAAATTAATTTACATCGCAAATTCGATCAACAATCACTTTAGTAAAAGCTTCATCTGAAGCAATACAATCTGTGAATTAACACTAAGGGCCCATTTTTTTCACCTTACTTTCACTTATTTTAGGTCTAATAAGTCCAGTTATGTTCAAATAAGTTAGGTTCAAGAAAAATAAGTTTTGATAAGGATTATCAAAGTACAAATTACAACTAAAATAAGGTTTAATAAGTTCAAATAAGTTAAGATAATTTTAAATTAGTTTTGTTAAGTTCAAATAAGTAGTTCTGATAAGTGAAATCAAGTGAATAGAAGACACCATAATTCGGTTTTAAAAACAACAATGTATAGTCGTTTGGTGAAAATATTCATGTGGTCCTCTAAATATTTACGAAGACTATGAAATCCTAGATCTTCAATCCTCACTACACTAACAAACATAGAGATTAACCACCATATCAAGGATAAGATCTATTTATTATTTAAAGTAATTTTTGGAGTTGACCACCGGTAAAAAAAACCATTGAAAGCCCCTATAAACATTCACAATTGAGACCACTAATTATGGGAAGTTTGTTATGTCTAAGAGGCTGTTTAGTTCACCTGATTTTAGCTAATCTGATCTGATCTGAACTTATTTTTTCTGATCTGATCTGATCTGAACTTATTTTTTCTGATCTGACCTTATTTTAATTATTTCAATATTCTACTTTTAATGTTAATCAATATTAATGTTTAATTATTATTGTTATTATTATTATTATCATTATGTTTATTATTATTATGATCATTTAATTTATATTATATTATATTATTATTATTATATGATATTATATTACTATGATATTATATTATTATTATTATATTATATTATATTGTATTATATTATTATTATATTATATTATATTATATTATTATTATATTATTATTACTATTATATTATATTATATTATTATTATTAAATAATAATAATATCATTATTGTTAATGGAATTGTTTCTAAAATTTCAAAAGGTGAGATTGTTTCTGGAAGATGGAGCAAAGGTGTGATTATTAGATTTCATTTTCCTTTTTTTATTTAAGCTTTTATATTTAACTTGTTTAGGGCGTTAAAGTGATTTTTTATTCATTTGTTCCTCTATTGAACCTTTTTTTATTCATGCGTGTATGGTTGTGTGGGAATGACACATTGACCCGTTTTAACCCGTCAAAACCCGAATTTAACCCGACATGAATTCAACCCGACCTATTCCTAACCCGACCCGAATTTAACCTGACCTATTACTAACCCGACCCGAATTTAACCCGACTTATTACTAGCCCGACCCGAATTCAACCCGATCTATCATTAACCCGCCTGAAATCAACCCGACTTGTTATTGAACCGAAATTAACTAGCAATCTAGGATTACGTCATATTTTTTTTCTTTCCCTAATTCTATGAGTTATTTTCCTATTTAAGCTTATTAAAATATTTTCAAAAAAATTCTCTATTATCAAATGTATTATAATTTACGTCTCAAAAAAACCTATGAAAATTTATTAATACCACTACTTTTTGGATGCATGTGCATTCTTTATTCAAATTTAGTAATTACTATTTACGAATACTACTACTTTGTAGGTGCATGTGCATTAATGTAGTCAACCCGAAATGATCCGACCCGAATTAATCCGACCCACACTTACCCGACATGTTTACCCGAATTGACAGCTCTACTTCCGACCCATGTTCGCGTTAGGCTCCTCTATATGAAATGGGTTTATAAATACAACTTAATATAGTGAAGGAAATTTGGAAAATCTTGTAATGAAAATTATATTTGTAAACGTTTATGATTTGGAGCTTATAATGAAATTTTAATTATTATCGTTTATTGTTTGTGCTATTTAATAACATGGACAATGTTGCTAGTTCAAACAAACGATAAAATCAAATCCGATACATCATAAATCAATTATAATAATAATAATAATAATAATAATAATAATAATAATAATAATTTGATCTGAACTTATTTTTTCTGATCTGAACTTATTTTTTCTGATTTGATCTGATCTGAACTTATTTTTTCTGATCTGATCTGATCTGAACTTATTTTTCCTGATCTGAACTTATTTTTCCTGATCTGATATGATCTGAACTTATTTTTTCTGATCTGATCTGAACTTATTTTTTCTGAAATAAGTAAAATTGAGGTGAACTAAACAGGGCCTAAGTTTATGATATATAGTATTAGATTTATCTCTCTAAATATGACTATAAGTGAAAACCTGATGATTAACGACATTAATGAAGAGCTTCCCCTTCTCTTTCTAAAACTCTCGTTCAGTCTCTTCATTTCTCCCTAAGTTCATTATTATCCTGGTAATCAACAGGTAACAATAGATTGAGGACATTGACATTCTTTATAATTATTAGTAAAACGTAGTAAATATTACTCCGGGATTAGTTTAAAGGACAACACTATGACCAAATACATAATGTTATCTCTAATACTACGTATTTGTATACATATCAAGTATGAAATATGATGTATTCGATTACAAATTTGAAACACTGTACAAGTAGTCCATAATTGAATTTGGGTTAAAGGTTATAGCTAGACAGGGAAACGTTTTCAGCAAAATCTTAACAAAAAAAAAAGAAAAAAGAAAAAGGAATAGGAGTAGTGGTAGTAGATGGGAGTAAAAGAGTTGAAAAGAACTACGACTACATATTTGGATTAATCTCCCACAGTCCCCGGTGTCTGAATTCTGAAAACCCGGTTTGTTTTAAAAATAAATTAATACTTGTACTATATTTTCCAGTTTCCACAACAACACTTTAGTCTCTGTAGAAGTAGTAGGGTTTTAATCTGGGTAGCCCTAAATTTACCCAAAATCCTAAGGAGAACTCAAGTATTCAACTACTCTCTCATACTTAAATTATTGTTATTCGTTGTTCATATTGAATTTCCCCAAATTGTCTGATGCTGAAACCCTAGGTTTAGGTCTGTAAATTCCAGTTAGGTGGAGCGGTGGAGGTGGCGGAGGCGGAGGCGGAGGCAGAGGCAGAGGCAGAGGCGGAGTCAGAGGCAGAGCATGAAGTAGGCGGTGAAGAAGAGGAGGTTGGTGGAGAGCTGAGCCGAAGCCATGGAAGGCGAGCAGCATGACATTGTGTTGGCTTGTGTTGTATCGGGTGCCCTTTTTGCTTTTCTCGGTTCTTCATCTTTCTCCATTCTCTGGGCTGTCAATTGGCGCCCTTGGCGTCTCTACAGGTTTCCGAATATCTTATTATTCAATTTCATACTTTGTACATTTTTATTATGAAATTAGATGATTATCATCTCATTACTGATTGTTGCTTCTCTTCCATGCAGTTTGATCTTTGCCAGAAAATGGCCAGATCTCTTCAAGGGACCTCGACTTGGTATTATATGTGGTGCACTCACTCTATTTGCTTGGTTCGTTGTTGTTTCTCCTCTTTTGCTACTTGTTGCCTGGGGATCCTGGCTTATTCTTGTTTCCGGCCGAGATATTATTGGCCTTGCTGTCATAATGGCTGGAACTGCTTTGCTTTTGGCTTTTTACTCCATTATGCTTTGGTGGAGAACGCGTTGGCAGAGCTCAAGTAATTTTCTTTCTTTGCCCTTCATGTCCTCTTAACTATACTCTCCATGCTTGTCTTTGATTGTTATTAAACAATGCCCATGTCAAATTGTACAACTACCTTTTCAATGTCACGTTACGTTACATGCTTAATCCAACCTCTGATAAATTTCCTAAGCTGTTGTTTTACCAAATACTCCATACTAAGCGTGCTACTTGACAAACATTGGCCTGATCACCCCCTTTGACTAAAATCATAAAGAGAAATTCTCATAGAAGTAGGGAGGTGAAGTGGGGCAAAACAAAAAGATCAAATGGTGCTATCCTAAGCCCAATACCGTACCAAACTCTCTTAGGAGGTGGTTGTACTCTGTATCATTGCTGCCTACATCTAATGAATACTTTAACTTATACAGCCTGTTCCCTGCAGGACTTTATGTTAAATGATAATTGAACTTAGGTGCATCCAAGGTGTACTTTAGGGAACAAGTAGTGGTTCATCAAGATTATAATGTGTTTGTGACTTCAATGAAGTGGGTCTAGTTTGCGGAGTTTTGAAGCTATTTACTTTGACAATTTGGATTTGTATGTCAAATGAATAAACCATTTGATCAAGCTTTGAGGGGTCCTTTTTTTTTTTTTTTTTTTTTTTTTTTTTTTTTTTTTTTGAGAAGGGCTGTTCTTGTTGATGCCAAGTGTTTCACATAGATGATCACTTGCTCTTTCTTGTTTTGTAGATAAAGTCATACACAATTGTATGATGGCCTTTTGCTCTATCCTTCTCTATTGTTCTTATATGCCTTAAATTCATCCCCACCTGCAAAGGATGACAAGTGAGCCATGCGGATGCTAATTTCTTATGTCTATGGACAAAAGATGTGCCCTTAAAAATGTTTTAAGTTTTTCGTATGGAAAGTGGTAGATTACTAGATTGTAAGGCTGAGTGGATAAGAACAAAGTGCCCAAGTTAGGAAATGTGTGTGTGTGTGTGCGCGCGCATGCGCGTGCGTTCGTGCGTGTGTGTGTGTACGTTAATCTTGAGTAAATCTGTGAAAAAGCTGTACATACCTTAGACTGAAACGCATTTGTTTCATGAAAGGGCTGAACATATTGCTTCTTATTAAAAGACAAGAACTGCTCCATAGCAAAAATGGTGCAGTTTTCTACAGAAGAAGCTAGGTGATGTTGAAGCTGATGAGTTGTGAGCATAAAAGTTTGTGTTTTATCTTATATTTTTTTTGGGTTTCTTCCAGTGAACTGGTGTGGGTTTTGCTTTTATATCTGCATATTTATTTCCTCACTGTTTTTTCTTGCTGTGAGCTAATAATATTCTACTTTGACTGACGCTGTTTCAATTGACTTTGTGCTAACAGGGGCTGTCGCCTTCCTTCTTCTTTTTGCGGTTGCATTGCTTTGTGCCTATGAACTCTGTGCTGTGTATTTTACAGCTGGTTCTAGAGCATCAGAGCGATATTCTCCTTCTGGATTCTTTTTTGGTGTATCTGCTATTGCCTTAGCAATAAATATGCTCTTTATCTGCCGAATGCTATTTAACGGTAATGTCTGCAACCATGTCTGACACTGCCTTTGTATCGTTAATTGATAGTTGATTTAAAGTTGCTGAAATTTCTAATTTATATCCACTTCTCGATCTGTACAAATTGCAGGTAATGGTTTAGATGTGGATGAGTATGTTAGGAGAGCATATAAATATGCTTATTCTGATTGTGTTGAGGTGGGCCCTGTGACTTGCTTGCCAGAACCACCTGATCCAAATGAATTATATCCCCGCCAATCTAGTAGGCAAGCTCCCATGCTTTCTTTCTGTTGTGGATGTACTTTTGCAACCTGGGGTCTGGATTGTGTTTCTTATCTACCTTTGTATATTTTTATTTGATGCCCCTCACCCTCCATTCCATATGCTAGAAAGTGAGGGCTTCATCTCAATAGTTTGTTTTTTTTTTCTTGATAAGCTGCATTAGATGAAAGGATTGGATTGAGTAATGACATAATTAGGAAGAAAGTAGGGTTACATCTATTGGGAACAAGATGAGGGAGAATTGTTTAAGATGGTTTGGCCATGAAAGATGAAGATTGAGTGGGGCTCCGCCGCTCTGGTAAGAAAGTTTGAAGAGTGGCAAAGTGATTGGATCTTGAGGGGTAGGGGAAGACCTCAAAAACTTGGAGGATGATTGATAGTAATATGAGCCTTTTGGGGATTGAAGAAAATATGGCGCTAGATAGGGCGAAATGGATAGAAATAATCTACACCGAGGACATGTCATGATTTTAAATTTATATGATTTTTTTCCTTCTACCTAAATACTGCGTTTTGCAAACTCTATTTATTTTCTTGTGTTAAAGTTTTCTCAAACTTTTTTCTCTTTTTTTACTCGCTTGATTTTCCTTTCTATTTATCTGTCCTTAGCGATCTTTTATATAGCTTTCTTAAATTTTATATTTTTTCTAATCCTGTTTGGGTTTTCACTATGCACTACCCTCTCCTTTCTCATTCTTTGTTCACTTTCATTTTATCACTTATATTTCGAAGAAGCACAGGTTAATCTCCGATATTAACATCCCAATTTATCTCCTCACTTTTTAATTTTTTTTTAATTATTTTAAAAAAAAATAAAAAAGAAAAAGATTATATTGTGAGAGGAGATATGTTTACATCTCAAAGTTACCTGGATTTTCTCCTTATCTTTCTCACCTCCTTTTCTTTTTCTTTTTTCCTCGGATGGTTCCTTGTGATGATTCATGTGGCCCCAAATCACAATAGGACTAATTATACCTTTATTGTTTGGAATTTGGTTCATTGTTAATGATACCATTTATTTTCATTTTGCTTATGTTTGGGTCCTTGTAAATGTGACATGCTCTAGTGTTTCTTGCTCATGCTTGGGATACACTTTATATCTTATGGATTTACATATGCAGGGTTTCACACTTGGGGACCCTCTATTTTGGATCACTATCTGTGCTTCTTGTGTACTCAGTCATGTATGGCTTGACAGCAAAGGAGGCACGTTGGTTGGGAGCCATTACTTCAGCTGCAGTAATTGTCCTTGGTGTGTTTGAAGGATTTTTCTAACATTAGGTCTTCATATAGTGCCTTATCATTTAATGTATCTAATATACTAATATAATATGTTTACAACAATTTTTGGTGCAGATTGGAATATGGGAGCATGCTTGTTTGGGTTCCGGCTTCTGAAAAGTCCTATTGCTGCATTGTTTATCGCTGGCGCATCTCGTGTATTTCTTATTTGCTTCGGCGTACATTATTGGTTCGCCTCTGTTTGAATATTTCATGATCTTGCTCTGAATATATGTGTATGTCTTCTATCACAAATCTGTATTTTTGTTTTCAGGTATTTGGGACATTGTATAAGTTATTTGGTTATGGCATCTGTGCTATTAGGAGCCGCTGTCTGTCGTCATCTATTGGTTACAAATCCGTCAGCTGAAAGAAGAGATGCCTTACAGAGCACAGTTATTCGTCTCAGGGAAGGATTTCGACGAAAAGAGCATAATACTTCATCAAGCTCTTCTGAAGGATGTGGTTCAAGTATGAAGCGCAGTAGCAGTACTGAAGCTGGCAATCTTGGACATGGGGTTGAAGCTATAAACAGAAATGGCGGAGGCGGACATTGCAATGGTGAAGCCATTGGTTGGAACAATACTACTTTACTCCGAACCACAAGCTCTCATGAGGGCATAAACAGTGAAAGGAGTGTGGACAGTGGAAGGCCTAGTTTGGTTTTACGCAGTAGTTCCTGTCGCTCTGTTATTCAAGATCCCGATGTTGGCCCATCCTTTGTTGAAAAGAGCTGTGATCACAACTCCATGGTGGGCTATTCCAGCGGTGGCCTTGAAAGTCAAGGCTATGATTCAAGTACGTCAACCTCAGTGAATTACCTTCCAGATCTTAATTTAGCTCTTGTACATCAGGAAAAACTCAATGATCCAAGGATTGCAGCCATGCTTAAGAAGAGGTCAAAACAGGGTGATCGTGAATTGACTAACTTATTGCAGAATAAAGGTTTGGATCCAAATTTTGCAATGATGTTGAAGGAGAAAGGTTTGGATCCAGAAATCCTGGCATTGTTGCAAAGAAGTAGTTTGGATGCTGATAGAGATCACTGTGATAACACCGACATCACTATCATTGACTCCAATAGTGTTGACAATGCTTTACCCAACCAAATTTCTTTGTCTGAGGAACTGCGGCTTCGGGGTTTAGAAAAATGGTTGCAAATATTAAGATTGCTTTGGCACTATGCAGCTGGTACTCCTGAGAGGGCATTAGCTCTTTTTAGTCTTGTCTTCATACTAGAAACAGTGTGTGTTGCAATTTCTCGTCCTAGAGTGATTAAAGTTGTAAATGCTGTTCATCAACAGGTTAGGCGCAATTTCTCTTTTATTATTGTTCTTGCTCACAAATGTTTTTTGTTTTTTTTTATTTTTTTTAATTTTCCGTTCTGCTAAAATTTAAGGTTTGAATCCTGCAGTTTGAGTTTGGAATCTGCGTGGTTCTTCTGTCCCCTGTGATTTGCTTGATTATGGCTTACCTGCGGTCTTTACAAGCAGAAGATACATCAATGTCATCTAAACCTCGAAAGGTACACCAACTTTCTTCTGTTTTTCAATACTAATCCAAGTACTTTCAAATATATTGTGTGATTGTAGGACTTGAATTTTCTAGATATAAGGTGTCAAGCCTGTGCCAAATTGCCAATTACTTTCAGTCAAGTCTAAGTTTGTCAGTCTTCCACAATAAATTTTCTTAACGAGTTATGGGGCTGTACTTTTTGCTAACCTAAAGTGCCCTTTTGGGATGACCTTCAATTTTTTTTCCCCCATTTGTAAGTTATTACACATCTAGTTGGAACTATTCTCGGTCATTTATTCTCTTCCTCTATTAAATAATCCTTAGAAGCTCGTCTTGTACCTCTTGAGAATCAATCGTTATGTATGATGACTATGATCATATTCTGGACTCTTCTGAATGCGTTATGCTGCTCTGACTTCTCGTAATCGGGAATTCACTTTGGATTGATAGGGTTGTTAAGAATAGGATTGCTGGATCGACTCGATTTTTCATATATGCTATAAATATAACACCATCTTAAGATGGTAATAATCATTCATATTTGAAGTTCAAAGTGCTAAAAAGCCAACCTGAATGCTGTGATGCTCGGCCCACCACTATGGTGTACCGGTGCTGATACGACATGACTGGGTGCTGACACGGAATCCAGGTTGGACTCTTGGGAGAGAAAGGGGATTCATCTGTAAAATAAAAGGTTGGATTCACCAAAACAAGAACCGAAACCTTAGGGTTTTTGGTCGGATTCACCGGCTTCCCACAAACCTGCCGGTATCATTCTTCGGCGAGGGGAAGCTGTTCTCTTGACTTCTTTGACATTTTCCTGTTTCAGATCAACCCAATTGCATGTTCTAGTTCCTCTCTATCCCCCCCCCCTCCCCCCCCCTCTTTTTTTTTAATGTGGGTTTGTGAGGGTGGGTGGGAAAAACCCTGTGATTTACTTCTTTACTTCTCTCTCTACTGTTCCAAAATTCTGAACAATAAATGCTTTTGCTAGTCTTAGTCTTTATTGCTTGTACGGGAATTAGAAAGTTACTCTTTTATTTTTCTCATCCAACTTCACTTATCCCTTACTCCGTATTTATGGGAAGATAGTATATAAACCAGTAAAATAAAATATAAAATCACACTTTATGAGCAACTACTCATTATTATTTTTGTAAGATCCCTTTGTATTGTAAAAATCTTATTATAATTCCTGAATCAGTATACCTCTGGTTCCAACTCCAAGTTTCAGATCCTATTAATACGTGTCCCAACTCCCAAGTCTTTAAATTTTAAAATTTCCAAAGTCTTGACACTCGGACCGGACCTCTACCCTGTTCCGATCATCCTAGGTTTTAATCAAGTTTTTATAAAATATATACTAATAGTAAAATTAATTTGGATTTGGAATTGTAAAATTTGGGATACTTAATTTTTGTTGGTGAATTTGTACAATTTTCAAGTTGTAGGATTGGACAGGATTGGACCGGATTCTTGTCTTTTAGAGTTCCCTAAGAGAAGAAGTTAGAGTAATAAAAATACTAAAATTTTGTGAAGGATTATCTACATCTAAACATCCAATCGAATGGTGATTGTTTGTTCCTTATAGAAAGATCTAAACTGAAACTCCTTTATCTGATGTAAAACTTTGTTATCCGATAGTAATGTTTCTTATATGTCATATTGTAACACCCCAATAATTCTCTCTTTAAACCTGTAAATACCTTTAATAAAATCCAAGAGAATTATTGACGTGCTACTGCCACGTGTTTAAACGTTAAGGCTAATTCAGAATTTAGCAGCTAAAAAACCAACTCAGTGATAAATAAGTTTCAAAACCAATGAACAAAACCAAATTAAGTCTTACAAGTTGGAACCATTAAGGCCCTTATTCAAAACCTAACAAAAGTAGTAAATAAATCAAACCAGAGTTGAAATAAATTCAAACTTATGAAATGAAATTAATTGTGATCAATAACCAACACTACACTCAAAATCCCACCATCTTGATGCAAGTCTAGACTATGTAAACACCTATGGTTAATCTGCTCCCCAATATTACAAGTGTAAAAATTGGATCATTGAAAGGCGAAGGCCATGACCAAGAAAAAGACACACAAAAGCACGCAATCAGCAACGTTGAGTACATACAAGCTACGAAGTATAACAAAGAATTCCTAGCATGCTACTTGTAATCAATCAATACACATAATTTAATTATTGACTCAAACAAATGCCTCAATTGTTAACATTACTAAAACTTCACTAATTAATAATAAATAATTCATTTCATTCATTGGATTAAGCAATGGACAAGGTTGTCTCCCCATGCTCTAATTTGGAACATCAATTAAAAAAAAAACCCCATGCCTCCTTTCGGAAGCATCAACATTCAATGGCAGACGGGCGCGACTCTGTGGCCATAGCTAGTATGAGATCTCATCTAAATCCTTATAGTTTTAAAAAGTATTTGAAAACAAGAGACTCGTAGATCAGACGGCCTCTAGAAAAGTGCACGGCTAATACCCCGTGTACCCAATCCCTATTTGTCATTACTCTAGTGTGCTCAAATCCAGAGTTTTATTGCTCATCCATCTTTCACTTTACGTGATTTACAAGTTTAAACTTGGTGATGACTCAAATGCAAAACAATACATACAATCAAACATCAATCATTCAAGCAATTCAAGTTTTCAATTCAATTCTTGTTATATTAGTGACAAACAATATTTATTATTGAATCCTTTAACTACCTCGGTGTATAAACACCTTAAGTGTATAAGGCACTCAAAGCCTGAACTTCGTCTTATAAGACTTTAATTCTCTCTTTACTCATTTTATTTCAATAAACATGAACGAGTAATAAGATAGTTCATTCCACATATTTACGTACCTTCGTTTCTTAGCTCATCTTGCAAGTTAATGCATAAATAATACTTACAAGATAAATCAATACGCATTTCTCATACGTGAATCAAAACCAATCATCACATTAATCACCAATCGAACTTACTATCATACAATTTCAACCAATCCACAAGTTTCCTAACATGATTCTAAATTTTCCAAGTCTTTAAACATGCTCCTAAAAGGTTTTTCGCATCCTTGTATGTATCTTGATTAAACAAATTGGTAAGCAACTTTACCAACCAAAAATCACCTTCTATGAAGTCCTCTCCTAAACCAAACAATAAAATTCCAATCAATACTCAAACAACCAAATTTACAGAAATACTAACTTATTTTAAGATCTTCAAAATCCTATTCAATTAAACAACATTTTAAAACCTACCATTTAATTAAAATCACTAGCTTATATATAATTCTTTAAGTTTCCTTCATAAAAACCTTAAAATACACCCTTATACATGAAATTACAGCAAGTTTAAAGCTTTATAAAAATGTGAAAATTTACTTTATGCATAAAATCTTAAAATTATAGTAATCTTTAAAACTACTTACATTATAGATTAAGCTAGTAGGCTTTGAACCCTAAAACTCACCAATTCCATGTAATTAGAGGCTTCAAAATAATTAAAAAAATTCTGAAAATTTACTCTTAAAACTAATCTTCAAAATTCAATACTTCATACTTCACAAAATAGCCCCAACAATTATTTGTAGAAACTAGAATCATGAAAAGATGAAATTACTACAAGTAAAACCCAAAATTAAGACTTTAGCTAATCTAAAAATTAATTTATGATCAAGATAATTGAATTTAAACATAATTTACACATACTAGGATTAAGTGACTTCACCAACACGTTTTTAAGCCCTAAAACTATGAAAATCAAGTTTTAAACCCTTATTTTCTTAATTAAACAAATCTGAAAATTCATTCAATAAATTAAACATTATAAAAATCATAAATTTGAAATCTTTAGTATTAAATAAACACTTTTAACTCAAAATAACAACAATTTAAAACCAAAAACTAATAAAGATCAAAGCTTGGAATAAACTAACAAAAGAGAGAAAGAAAGAAGGAAGAAAAGAGGGAAGAAGAGCAAATGGTGGCTGGGTGTGCGATGGTGGTCGGAGGTGGTTTGGGTGGCTCGGTGGTTGCCGGTGGTGGTGGTGCGTCGCCAGCAACATCGGTGTACAGTGTGGCATTTTTTTTTTTCTTCCGAGTGTATGTGAAAATCCTGAGGAAGCAAGGAGATTTTTTTTTTCTTTCTACTGTGCGTGAATCAGTAGAGTAGGAGTAGTATTTAGGGAATTTTGTGGATTTAGTGGGGAGTTAAATGATTGGTTTAAGGGCTTTAATATTGTTAATGGGTTTTCTTAATTCTAGTAGGATTAATATTTTTACTTGGGCTCAAATAAGTGGGTTTAGGACATAAGAATAGTTAGTCCAAATAGATTAGTAAAATGAAATAATTTTTCATTTGAGTATTTCTCATAAAATATACATAAATCATTGCTTAAATTATATAAAAATAACTTATACAAATACATATTAATAAAAATATTCTCATAATTACAATAAAACGTAATTATTAATTTCAAAAATTTGTGGGGGATTACACATATCTACCGCCATATCGATTTTTTTTTTTTCATGCTATGGTGGAAGAGGTATAGAGACGGAGAAAGAAATAGCATGTCATATTGTGAAGTAATTTTCGTACATGAAAGAGGAATCACACTATTATATATGGAAGCCACTCTGTTTCAAGTAGTACATGGCAGGGGGACAAAAAGGAGGTTACGAGAGAAAGAAAAATAAAGAAAAGGGGATTTAGCGTTGCGCTTAAAATGAGTCCTATGTAGTGGACTCAAGGAGGGCAAAAGAGGGATGTAACTCTAAAGGAAGAGAAATTAAGTAGATATTAAAAGAACCGATGAAAATGGAAAATCAATCAATCAATCAATCAAAGCCTTAATCCCATAAATGGGGTCGGCTACATGAACCAAAAATGATTATTCCGTGTGGTCATCCACAAAAATCTTCCTCCTCCATCCCTTATGATCCAATACCTCACCCTCATGCAAATCCATATATTTCATATCCTTCTTAACTCCTTCCAACCAAGTTATTTTCGGTCTCCCTCTCCCTCATTAAACCCTCCATGGTTCCACTCTTCCACTCTTCGTACCGGTGCACCCTCGGGTCTCCGTCTTACATGCCCAAACCAACGCAAACGATTTTCCCTTAGTTTGTCTGCAATGCCTGCCACACCTACTTTCTTGCGGATAACCTCATTTCTGATTCTATCTCTTAGAGTGTAAGGGTGGACGGGTGGGACCATGGAGGGGTTAAACGAGGGAGAGGGAGACCGAAAATGACTTGGTTGGAAAATGGCTAGAAAAAAATAAAAAAAAGAATGGAGGGACTAGTGTACAAATTGCACCATGTATATAATTATTTCACAAGAACCTCTTTTAATTTGGCTGATAGTGGAGATTATGTTTTATGATATATTTTATGATTTGCTTTATGGTATATCTTATTATGTGTTTTCTTGTCTTTTGGTTATTGTTATAACCGGACAAATCTCTTGCTGCTCTCTCCCTGGAATTTCAGTATGGTTTCTTTGCATGGTTGCTGAGCACTTGTGTTGGATTGCTACTTTCCATTTTGAGGTATTTCACTTCCTTGTTGAAGATATTTTGAAGTTACTGCTTTATTGATTTCTACTCACCCGTTTCTTTATAATGGTTTGATTATAGCATTCACGACAATCAAGGAGAATTAATTGGAAAGTAAGAGAAAGCTATGGATTGTAATTTTGTAAGAAAAGAATAATAATAATAATAATAATAATAATAATAATAATAATAATAATAATAATAATAATAATAATAATTTGAGTTAAGTGGTTTAGAAAGATAATTAAAAAATAAGTTGAGTGAAATTTTGTCAAGTGGAATGTAGGAAAAAATGAATAAAAATTAAGGTTCAGTGCCTCAGTGGAGTATTGTAAGTAAATTGGAGTGTGAGAATGGATGTAATAAGGCGGGCCATATACCTATACTGGAATAAAGGTGGGCCATGTACCTGATTGTAATTATTAAGGATCCGGAAGGAGTATATGATTTGGCATTACTTTTTTAATCTTGTTTTGTTGGAAGAATTTTTACATATTGTTAAGTACTCCTTTCGTCCTCAAATTTTTATAATCGTAGGCTTAACCATGTACATTACGAGTAGATTGTAGTAGAATGTAGCATTGATGCAATATGGGGTTAAAAATGAGGACGAGTGCAGGGACAGAAACCGGCGAAATTAAATTTTTTAAAATGCGGGTACAACGGAAAAAAAAACCAAATCTATACTTAATTCACTACTACAAGAAAGACAACTTATTTAAATGTGTAAAATAATACATAAATAGATATGCATTAGGAAATTTTGCGAAAAACTACCTTTTTAATTTTGGATTTTGCGAGAAAGTACCTTATTAAAAAAAAGTTGTAAAAATCTACCTTATAAAACACATTTTGGTTTAAAATGGTACCACTGCTCGGAATAAGGCAGCAGGTTTACCAATTTCGCGGCGTTAACTACATTTGTTTATTTTCCTTTTCCCTACGTTTTTTCCTTTTATATCATACATCTCTTTCCCTTATAAACACATTTTGTTGATTAGGGGTTGAAATAGAGAGCAAAATTAATTAAGAAAAGGGGGGGCGGAAAAAAATACGTTTGATTGGGGGAAATAGTTATCACGTGAGTGTTACGTGATGGTCAACACCGGAAAAATTGGTTAACTCACTTGATTCCGACTAATTGTATAATTTCTCAACAAAATGTATTTATGGTAAATTTTTACAACTTTTTTTACATGGTAGTTTCTCGCAAGATTTCAAATTTATAAGAAGGTAGTTTCTTGCAAAATTTTCTATGTATTACTTCTTTTGTTTTTTTTTAATCGCACCAATTTATTTTTTGGGTAGTTGCATATTAATTGCACCATTTTCTTATTTGGTATGCTTTATTCGCCTTTTGCTTGTGTTCACACACAAAGTATCCTAACTATCCTTGTTCACATGTGATAACAACCGTTGTTACCCCACATTCTCTCATTAATTTGTTTGTATCACATGAGCAAATTTGATATTCCCCACCTTTCACTCTTTTTTCTTAAATCTTGTGCCCATACCAAATGGTGCGATATAAAAAAAAGGGGGAAGTATGTTTTTATTTTTGTTTATTAATGTTATTACAAATTTTTAAAAAAGTTATAAGTTATAAGATTATGACAGGCATGATGGCTGTTGTAAAGTCAGTAAAATACGTTTCCTATATCAGTCATATGTGGCAGGTAACTATGTACAAATTAGATTTTTCTCTTCCAAATTCTCACAATGATTTCAAATCGACACACCACTATGCTAGCAAACAGTACTTGTAGAAAAAGAAAATTACTTGTTTTCAATCTAGATGATTGCTCAAATATATGGGTTTGCTGATAACACAAGGCCTTGTCTGTCTTAACTATTGGCTCCTTTCTCGATTGGGCTAAAATGTCAAGTATATGAAGGCAGACAGACATACCGTCCCCCACTCCCCAATAATCATGCGTGCCGTACCCACTAAAGTTAGCCGTACCCATTTTTTTTGAGACGTACTCAGGACTTATTTTGGACACATCTGACCTATACCCATACCCTGTCGTCCCTGGTACAGGAAACGCAGGTTGACTGGCATACTGATGCTTCATAGCATAGTACTCTAGTACTCTCTGCATTCATTTTCTCTCTACCCACTTTCCAATTTTCTATATTAGGGCTATACCCTTTACTGTCTTCCCTTTTTTACTCCACAAGAATTATACCTTTCCACACACTCTTGCGTTCTTCAATTTTTCGTTACACTCACAACGTTTATACGTTCAACATTCTCTCCCTTTATCTTTACACTCCACTCACATTTTCAATTTTTTTTCTTAAAATGCATGTCTACAGTAATTGAGTTGACCATTAAATTATTGAGGGACATGTTTGGTAGATAGTGACAAATAAGAATATTAACATGATTGAGGGAGGAAGAGTTGGTGGATGGTTATAGATCACATAAAATAAGAAGAAAGAGGATGAGAGTGACTAGTGAGGCATTTAGAGGCAGTGCCCACATCCTTGGGTTGAATGAGTTGGGAGATATGATTTTTCTTATAAGGTAATAGTGCAATAAACTAAGGACTGTCCAAAATAGTATACATGACAATTTTTTGAGGATGAGGGAGTAGATAGTATAAGTATGCTCAGGGTCAAGATTTTTTGATGGGTGGAAGTGAGGAACATTGTCTTACTCCATAGGCCATAGCACATTATCTAAATGTGGTATGTTCAAGTGTATTATATGGGAATTCATATCCTGGGACTCTGTGGTGTTACTGAAGTGTGCAGGTTTGCAGAGTTTGGTGGGGGTGGTTGTGGAAGGAGTGGTAGGGCTTTAGATCATGTATGTAGAGATATAACTACTGTTGCAAAAGAACAGATACACACGCATACATATGCATGTGTGCACACACAAACCATTTGTTTAAAATAGTCTATATGTATCATGTCAGTTGCACCTGGGCATTATGAAGGCTTTGACCTTACTGCACACATGATATGATCCAGCAACAGATGCAACTCATCTTTATTGCTGGCAGAAGTGTTTCCATGATCATTAGCGTGATCACAACCTCTTCAGGGTATTAATGTTCTGTGTTTATTTTTAAACAAGTACTATATATATGTATCTGTGTATGCATATACTGACTTGTTTTTAGTTTATTTGATTGATTTATATGGCCTGAATATATCATTAGCGAACAAAGGCATTAAAGATTTATGATTTTTTACTTTGTTCTTGTTTGTTGCTGCAGCAAATCATCAGTTCTTCTTGGATTGTCCTTGACTGTACCCCTCATGGTGGCATGCCTTTCAATTGCTGTTCCGTTATGGATTCGTAATGGATACAATTTTTGGATCCGTCCTGACAGTTCATCTAATCGAACTGAAAATCATCAAGCCCTTGGACGGACAGAGGTTTTTATATTCTTAGCAAGCTATACTTGATGTTTTGAGTGTTTAAGTCCTATGCTATGTCATTTTCTGTTATGTGTATTAAATAAAACACAAGGTTTGTGCATTTTGGTAATTAGTAGCTGTGGAAATGGAAGTTTGCTGATCTTGACATTTACACGATTGATTTCATAATTCAAAGTCTAATTCATTCTTATTTAACTTTTATTTTTTATTTTTTATTTATTTATTTATTTTTTTCAATTTATCTGCCGGAAAGTAATTATTTGACATTGCCTAACTTAAAGTTTCCTTTTTTTTGCTGGTATTTTTTTCTTTTGATTTCTTTTTACTCTTATTATTGTAAATTGAAGAACTGTAAATTTTTATTTTTGAAGTTGACCCTTCGTGTACAAAAATACTCCAACTCTAATATGCCTGACGAATTTCCTTTAACTTGACATTTACACGATTGATTTCATAATTCAAAGTCTAATTCATTCTTATTTGACTTTTTTTTTTTTTTTTTTCAATCTATCTGCCGGAAAGTAATTATTTGACCTTGCCTAACTTAAAGTTTCCTTTTTTGTTGGTATTATTTTCTTTTAATTTCTTTTAACTTACATTATTGTAAATTGAAGAACTGTAAATTTTTATTTTTGAAGTTAACCCTTCGTGTATCAAAATACTCCAACCCTAATATGCCTGACGAATTTCCTTTAAGTTAGGGATTGTTGTGTGTGTTCGTGCTTTGGTTGTTATAAATGACATTTCATGCTCTCAGTGCAAGACGAATACCATAATAAATGGTTTTACTTTGTCTTGTCTGTGATCGCTGTAAAGATTGCTGTGCAGTGGTCCTTAATGAAGAGGCATCACGTGGTTTTAGTTCATGCTTTACAACCATGTGCATGATTTGACCAATTGAAAAAGATCCACGTTATCTTCACAGTTAAAGAGTTATGGAAAATCTTCTTTAAAATCTAGCTTAATATCTAACTTTTGAGAATCTTACCTTGTTATGCTGCATGAATATAAAAGTTTCCAACATTTATAGCAACTAAAGTGATGATTCAATTTTATCAATACACTGAATGGTTCTGATTAATGACAAGTTTAGTAAGTTAATGGTCTATAGCGGATGTTGTGGTGACGTGCCGATGCGGCTTACATTTATATCAGATGTTATGGATTGGAATTTCCCGGGGGGGACGGGGGGCGCTAAATCCAAATCTGTAGCAGAATGGGCTTTACGCAACAAAAAACACTGATTTCCTATTTAAACCATATGTTATGGATTAGATTTTCGGGGATGGCTAATTCAAAATCCATCAGAATGGCCTTTATATCCACTAGATTATATTCCATGCTTATTTAGTAAAAGTCGTAGGTGGATTTTATGCTTCTTCCAGCTGCAACACCCCCCCCCCCTTACCTCTTCCTCTTGGGAACAGACTTGTTAAATTAAATTATACTTTGTTTTGGTTTAGATTTGGATTCGTAGTAATCAGGTGTTGCTTTTCCAGGGCATTGCTTTTCTCGTCTGTGTAACGATTTTTGTTGGATCGGTGATATCACTCGGTATTATTGTTTCTTTTAAGCCATTAGATGAGTTGTCTTACAAAGGATGGAATGGTAATGGAAAAAGCTTTGTATCTCCTTATGCATCCCCTGTTTACCTTGGTTGGGCAATGGCTTCGGCAATTACTCTACTGGTCACGGGTGTGCTGCCAGTGATATCTTGGTTTGCAACTTATCGGTTCTCTATCTTCTCCGCAGTATGTTTGGTTTTATTTTCTGGTAAGTATGACCATGCTAATTTTATTTGCTGCAACTCTATGAGTTATCATTTGATTTTAGGTCTAGCATTCTATGCTGTTCATCTTTAATTTTCCCGTCCTGGTGCAGTTGTCCTTGTGGTATTTTGTGGTGTGTCATATGCGGAGATAATAAATTCAAGGGCTGATCACATTCCGACAAATGGCGATTTTCTAGCTGCTTTGCTTCCCTTGTTGTGCATTCCAGCAATTTTATCGTTGTGTACTGGCCTGCACAAATGGTGAGCAGGAACTTAAACTTGTTGGTCTACTCTTTGACCTGTAATGTAAGGGGATACTGTATTTGATTTTCGTTGACATACTTGCAGGAAGGATGACGAATGGAGACTCTCTCGCAGTGTCTATATCTTTATAGCTATTGGTCTTCTTTTGTTGCTCTGTGCTATATCAGCTGTCATAATTATTGTCAAGCCTTGGACGGTAAGTTGGATCCTTTTTATTGCTTTGCTACTACCTCAGGGAATTTCAAATTGAAAACTAAGATAAAGGAAACAATTGATGCGCAAGGGGGGGGGGGGAAGAGCAGAAGGGTTGGAGGCCTTTTAGATAGGTCTCGAACTTTCGATACTCTGAAATAATATAGTTACATCAGTTTTGTATTGTTTTTGCACAGGTAGGGGTGTCATTTCTTTTGGTTCTTCTATTAATCGTGCTGGCTATCGGTGCCATCCACCTTTGGGCTTCAAATAATTTCTATTTGACCCGGGGACAAATGTTCTTCGTATGTTTTCTTGCATTTCTTTTAGCTGTGGCAGCATTTTTGGTTGGACGGTTAGAAGGTGAGAAAATTATAGTTTTCTTTTTTACTTTGTAACTGTTTGCATGATATAATTTGCTGTGATAATACTCAATATTTTAATAATTTGTTTCCCCTCTTCGTTTCCAGCCAAACCCTTTGTAGGAGCATCTGTTGGGTATTTTTCATTCTTGTTCCTCCTTGCGGGTAGAGCACTGACTGTAAGTCTGCTTTTGTTTTAGATTCTAAGTCTTTAAACTTCTTCACTTCCCGTTGTCTATTCTTCTTCCTTCCTATAGTGTGCCTTTGTTGTTTTCTTGCATTTCCCCTCCCCTCTCCTCTTGCGTGGCTGCGTTTTTTTTTTTTTTTAATCACCTGCATGAAATTTATTTCTTTGGGATATCATGTTATTTTTAAAATTATATACGAAGTATATATATTTATTATATATATACACACCCACACTTATTATTATTATTATTATTATTATTATTATTATTATTATTATTATTATTATTATTATTATTATTATTATTTTTCCTGTAGGTTCTTCTTTCACCTCCCATTGTTGTCTATTCTCCAAGGGTGCTTCCTGTATATGTATATGATGCTCATTCAGATTGTGGAAAAAATGTCAGGTTTGTCTTATATCCCTTAGCATATTTCTACTAATTATATTTTCTCTTTTTGATAATTGGTGTAATCTGCTGAGTATGATGTTGTTTCTTTGATAGTGGTGCTTTTCTGATGCTTTACGGCATTGCTTTAGCGACGGAAGGGTGGGGTGTTGTTGCCAGTCTTAATATTTATCCGCCATTTGCTGGTGCTGCTGTCTCAGCAGTTACTCTTGTTGTTTCGTTCGGATTTGCCGTCTCACGCCCCTGTTTGACTCTTGAGGTGTGGCATGAATGATGACAGTGTAATTCTTATATTTTGGTATTGTGTCTGATTGTTTAATGTGCTTACTTATTGGCATGTATATGCATATTTTATGAGCAGATGATGGAGGATGCTGTTCATTTTCTTAGCAAGGAAACTATTGTTCAGGCAATTGCACGATCTGCAACAAAGGTGTGTATGGAAATAATTGGATTGACAGATAGGAACCTTACACTGAGTTTGTTTCAAGATTTGTTATGGGCCTTGGGGTTAATTGTTTCACTCGTAAAAATTATGAATCCGATAGAAATTGTACAACAAGAGCAAATTTTGTATTTTACCACCGACAAATAATTCACTTATTGATATTACTATCCAAAAAAAGTTTTATTTTAAATTACCACCCAAAAAAAGACAAATAATTTAGATTTCACCACCAAATCCGTTAAATCTAATGTTTTAAAACATTTTCTTCGATTTTCGTGAAAAAAAAAACATGTTCTTTAAAGATTTTAGCGGTCATTTTTGCCCTTTAGTCCGATTTGGGCTTAGAATTTGCAGAAAATTATCTTAAATTCCTCATATTGCATGTGTCACGCAAACCGAGGTATTTTTAGTACACAAAATAAGGCATTTCCTAGAACTTTTTTTTTAGATTTTAATCTCTAATCGAACCCTAAGGGTAAAAATGACCCCCTAAACCTCTAATGAGCATTTTTTGGCACGAAAAACGAAGTAATTTCATTAAAATGTTAGATGTAATTGTTTTTGTAACGGAAAGTGTTAATTGGTGGTGAAATCTAAATTTTGTCTTTTTTTTGGGTTGTAATATAAATAAGTGGGTTATTTGTGGGTGGTAAATTACAAAACTATATATATATATATATATATATATATATATATATATATATATATATATATATGCTACATAGGTTTGAGATACATGACAAAAAATGAACAAAATAATTTAAAATAATTTTTTTGGAATATTTTCAATCAATCAAAGCCTTAATCCCGTAAGTGGGGTCGGCTACCATGAACCAAATTTGATTATTCCGTGTAGTCATCGACATAAATCTTCCTCCTCCACCCCTTACGATCCAATGCTTCATCCTCATGCAAATCCATACACTTCATATCCTTCCTAACTTCTTCCAACCAAGTCATTTTCGGTCTCCCTCTCCCTCGTTTAACCCCTCCATGGTCCCACTCTTCCACTCTTCGCACCGGTGCACCTTTGAGTCTCCGTCTTACTTGCCCAAACCAACGCAGACGATTTTTCCTTAGTTTATTTGCAATGTCTGCCGCACCTACTTTCTTGCGAATAACCTCATTCTTGGTTCTATCTTTCCCACACATCCACCTTAACATGCGCATTTATGTAACCTTCATCTTTTTAATGTGCTCCTTCTTAGAATCCTAACATTCACAATTCTGTACCATAGAGAACTATTGGTCTTATGGCAGTCCCGTAGAATTTTCCCTTGAACTGTAAGGGAATTCTTCAGTCACATAACACTTCCGTGGCTGCTCTCTATTTAAGCCACCCCGACTTCTTGTGAGCCACGTCTTGATCAATGTCACCATTCTTTTTGATAATCGACCCAAGATACTTAAAGCATTCACTCATGGTTAAATCATTTCCATCCAAACTCACCACTTCATTGCTTGTCCCCCTCTGAGTACCAAAATGACATACCAAATATTCAGTTTTACTCCGACTTAGCTAAAATCCTCTAGATTCCAACCTTTGCCCCCATTGCTCCAACTTAGCATTAATCCCATCCTTAGTTTCATCCTCCAAAACGATATCTTCTGCGAACAACATACACCATGGAACCTCATCTTGAATTGGTCTAGTTACTTCATCTAGAACCGTTGCAAAAAGAAAAGGGCTTAATGCAGACTCTTGATGCAATCCGATTGTAATAGGGAAATCTTTTGTCAACCCTCCACATGTCCTCACATTTGTTGACACATCCCGATACATATCCTGAACCAGGTCCATGTACCTTCGTAGGATACCTTTGTTCAACATTGCTCACCAAAGTACCTCTCTTGGCATCTTGTCATATGCCTTCTCTAAATTAATAAAGACCAAATGAAGATTTTTCTTCTTTACCCTATAAAACTCCATCATTTGTCTTATCAAATGGATTGCTTCCATAGTAGATCTCCCAAGGCATAAAACCAAGTTGGTTATCCGAAATGCTTGCGCATGCCATCAACCTATGTTCAATCACCCTTTCCCACAACTTCATAGTGTGGCTCATAAGCTTGATCCCTCGATAGTTAGAACAATCTTTAGCGTCTCCTTTGTTTTTATAGACCGTGACCAAGATGGTGTTCCTCAAATCTTGCCAGATCCTTGTAGCCGTCCATATCTTGTTGAAAAGGTCTGTTAACCAATCAATACCAATCTTACCTAAACACACCTCTATCGGTACACCATCAGGGCCAACCGCCTTCTTAGGCTTCATCTTCTTCGGTGCAATCTCCACCTCTACTCTTATAATCCTCCGCACATACTCCATGTTGATTTCTTCTTCACTCGCGGAGGTATCTCCTGGCATAAATCCATTACTTCCATTAAACAATTCATCGAAGTACCCCTTCCACGTGTCCTTGATGTCCTCCTCTTGTACTAGGACCATTTGGTTCTTATCTTTGACACACTTCACCATGCCAATATTTTCAAATTTTATTTTTAAATTTAAATATTAACGTGCACGTCTTATATACATAAGGTACATGTCCTAAAAGTATAAGGTATATATCGGAAAGGTATAAATTAAAGTGCATAGCCTAAGATAAAAGGTACTCCCTCTGTTTCGTATTAATCGCAACACTAGGGTGTTCACAAAGTTTTAGAAAATTTATAGGGTGGGGACCAAGAAAAGGTTTATTTTTATTTTTTTTTTATTTTTTATAATATAAAGTAGTGTTGGTAGGAGAGAGAAATAATAAAAAAAGTAGTATAAGTGGGGTTGGTAGGAAAGAGAAATATTAAAATATTTGTGAAAGTGGGGTTAGTGGGAGAGAAATTATAAAATAATGGTGGGTTTTTTCCAATTATAGAAGTGTTGCAATTAATATGAAACAGATGTTAAAGGAAAGTGTTGTGATTAATACGAAACGGAGGGAGTACATGTTTTATAGTTATAAGAAAGACCGGTCAATTCCCGATCCGACCTAATTCCAAACCTGATTTAATGAGAGAGAACCCGAACCCGTCCCAAATGTCCTGAAGTAGACCCGATTTGACCCATTTATCATAATTTGTAATGATCCAAGCAATCCAAGCCACTCGAACCAAACGACCCAATTAATTTGACCCAAACTCGACTTGTTGACCCGAATTGACAGGTCTTGTTATAAGGTACATCACTTATTTTTTATTTTTTAAAATAAATTTCGTTTTTGCATACTTTAAAGTACGTGTCATGTATTAATAAGGTATATGTCTGGAAGATAAAAGGTACATGTTATAAAGTTGTAAGGTACATCACTTAAAAATAAAAAAAAATTAAAAAAGAATTGATTTTTTTTTTCCAAAAAAAAAAGTACATGTCATATATCTGTAAGGTACCTTAGTTTTAAAAAGCGCGAGGCGCAAAGCGTCCCTGAAGCCTAGGCGCAAAGCGGAGGCGCGCGCCTCTTGAATTTGAGGCGCACCTTAATTGCCCAAAAATCCATAAATCACTTCATAGCAAAATATGAGCCTTATATACTCAAAATAACATATTATAAATGCATAAATTAAAACAAAGAACTACAGGATACCCTTAAAGGCGCTAATGGCATAAAAGTCTTTTAACTAAAGAACAAATCACACATTCAACATAAAGGAAAAAGTAAATCAAGTAGAAAGAAAAGCAAACACAGTAGTCTTCAAGCTTGTTATTTGGCATACTAAGACACTATTAATCCATCTCTTCATCCGATGAATCATCAAACACATCCTCCTCTGCTTCATAAGTCTCATCTCCACTAATGTCCTCTTCCATCTCATCATCATACTTCTCATTGTCATCAACCATCAAATTTGTACGACGCGGTTTAGAAGTGGAGCCACTAGCAATTCCCTTTCCTTTGTCTAACTTTAGATGCTCCTCTAGTAGCGTAGAAAGGTTCATTAGCTCCGGAGGCTTTACTAACCGCACTCCAAGTCAAGTACTCCCCATCAAATACTAAATCATCATCCTCCTCCTCTTCTTCCATTCTTCCAAGAAGCCTCTCATTGCTTTCATCAATTTCATTTAAGACAATGGGATCAATAGTGTCTTTCCTCTCCTATCGCCGTTGCAATGCTCTATTATACTTGACATAAACCATGTCATTTAATCGACTTTGTGACAATCGATTCCTCTTCTTAGTTTGAAGCTGTAAAAATAGAATAATATAAGCTATATAAAATAAAATATAATAGGTAAAACAATGAAAGTAAAGCGCTAATTTCAAGTACTTAACTACTAACTTGTTGAAAAACACCCCAATTTCTTTCACAACTTGTAGCATTACAAGTGAGGCTAAGAATTTTGATGGCATACTTTTGGAGTTTAGGAGTTGTTGCACCATAAGTCGACCACCTATCCGCCGGAGCTTTGGTCTTCCTTTGCCTAATTGTACGACCAAAGAGACCGGTAGCATTCTTAAACTTATCCGGAACCAACCTTTTAACACAATCATACAAACCTTGCAAAACTTCCTCACAATTAAGTTCCGGATTTAGAAAAAAACCCGCCGCATGCAAAGGATGATGAAGTTGACCGTCCCACCTTTTATCCATGATCTCAAATGCCTTAAGGTAGTTCTTAGGTTTTAAATCAAAAGTATCCGCCATAGTCTCTTTAGCTCTATCCATGGCTTCATAAATGTAGCCCATTGGAGGCTTTTTCTTTGATCTGTGAACTTCCTCATTAAGTTCACAAGAGGGGTATGAGTGTGACTATAAATATAGCCATTGATGAACATGCACTTCTTTTGTGCATTCAAAACTCTTAGAAGCTTTCCAATGTCTTCTAACATCAAACCAATACAATGAGCGGCACAAGGATTCCAATAAAAATGAGGTCTCTTAGCTTTAATTTTTTTTTCCTACAATTCAAAATATATATATATATATATATATATATATATATATATATATATATATATATATAAAAGATACAAATTTACAAAGTAAATCAATTAGTAATATTTAATTGGAAAAACCCATAAGACTATTCACTAATTCTTACCGGCTTCGACATAATTGGATGCATTGTCCGTCACTACTTGAACAACATTTTCCTCTCCAATTTCACCTACCATCTTATCCAGAAGTCTAAACAACAACTCCGCATCTTTCACAACATCCGAAGCATCCAAGGATCTTATGATCATGGAACCCTTAGGAGAATTGACTAGGAAGTTTATAATATCCTTTTGGATAACCGAATCTCGCCATCCATCGGATAAAATTGAACAATCTTTACTTGCCCACTCTTTCTTGTTCTCCTCTATTTGCTTCTCAACATCTTTCACTTCTTTGTTCAAGATAGGAACTCTAAGCTCATACATACTTGGTGGTTTTAATCCGGGACCATATTGACCAATAGCTTCAATCATTGCTCCAAAGCTATTCATAGATAGCCGCGTTGAATGGAATTCTCGCATCATAAAACCACTTACCAATTGTCCTACAAGTTTTCTCACTTAACTCCTTATCACTTGCACCAAAAATTCCTTTCCTTTCTTTCCTAGCTTGCAATACTTCTTTAGGAGTTGAAGTAATAAACATATCCATAGGATCTTTGTACCTAGGCTTTTTAGGAACTTTTTCACATTTACTAACATCTTCCTCTTCTTCATCAACATCATCTGTTTCATGTTGGGACATGCTTGGCATCATTTGGCTATTGACTTTTTCCTGATCTTTTTTTTAGCATAAAAGTCTTCACTTCCTCCCTCACATGTTCGGGACATTTAGGGCATTTAGTGACATTTCTAAAGCCACCAACTAAGTGTTGTTTTAATCGATATGCCCCTCCCTTTGTCTCTTTACCACAAAAATTACAATGCCAATTAACTCTATTATTAGGTTCTGGTTTTCCATATTTTCTAGCCGGGTCGGGATTGGGTGATCCTGTGGAAGGAAGTGACTCTTCATGTTAAAAAATATACGTAGTACAAACTGGAAAACAAAAAAAAATTAAAAAAAGTATAACAATTTATGACCTAAATAAACTGGAAAAGCAAAAAAAAAAAAACAAAATTAAACAAAACAGAAGACATAAATCACATAATCTGAAAACTTCACAAAAAAAAAAAAAGATAAATATACTTAAAAAAAAACAGAGGATATAAACAAAAGAACAGAGCCCAGAATATAATAAAAAGAAAAAGAAAGAGAAAGAGATTGAAGAGGAAGAAAGAGGTAGAATAATTGAAAAACCACAGAATTTTTTTTTAAAAAAGAAAAACAACCCAAAATTTCAGAAAAAAAGCCAGAAACAGAAGAATATGAAAAAAAAAATAAAACCAACATACCTGTAGTTTCCGGTGATATCCACCAAGGTCGGCTGGTTTCCGGCGAGAGAAGGTTGACATCTGGCAACAATCGGCTGGTTTCCGGCGAGAATTGGCTGAGACCTGGCAACAATTGTTTGCTAGGGTTTTAGTTTTCGAACCTTCATTTTCTTTTATTAAAACCTGGTTTTGTTTTTTTTTTTAACTGCCACGTGGTTATTAGCGCCTCACATCAACCAAGCGACGCTTTGAAGTGCCTCGCGCCTCATAATAAAAGCGCTGAAGCGCACGCCTCATGGCCAACCGCGACGCTTTAAAACCTTGAGGCGATTTCTATGTCGCCTCAAGTGAGCTTAGTAAGGTACATGGCCAAAAGATTAAAGATACATGTTATGAAGTTATAAGGTACATCACTAAAAAAATAAATAAAATGATGCACGTTTTAGTTTTATTGAATGTACCTTATGTAGTTCTCACTATACGAGTGGTTTTCATCATAAGCATGATTCTCACATGAAGCTAAATATATATACTTCCTCCGTTTTTTTATTGCACCATGAGTGATTTCACGCTTGCCACTGCATTACTTTGGCTATTAATATTTGTAATTATACTTTTGTAAAATTTGTAAAAAGTTGATATTTGAAAAGTAGTTTTCGAGACGAATCTAACTAGATCTCACATGACTATGTTTTTTTATTACGGATAAATCACAAAAAACGGTCAAAGGAGATTATATGAACAGTGTAAAAATCCTTATGGTGCAATAAAGAAAAATGGAGGTAGTATATGTATATATATGAACAGTGTAAAAATCCTTATGGTGCAATAAAGATCTCACATGACTTTTTTTTTTTTTTTTTTTTTTTTTTTTTTTTTTAAGGGGGTGTGTGATCTATCAATTAATTTATGGAAATATTGATACCAGCAGTTTCTACTATCACCTGTTTTCTTTAAAAGGTCTCAACTTTCATTCAATTTACTTTGGTCGGTCCCAACTAGGAGGGGTTCCTTCCCAAAACAGTCCTTTACTTGTATAACCGGTTTGCTCGGTTACTTAAGCCGTGTGTTCATTGGCATATATTTTTTTTTTTCAAAAATAAAATAACTTTAGTCACCCCCATCCATCTACTCTGGCCACCTGCCTCCCGCCAAACTCCCCTTCCATCATCTTCTCCAGCTTCAGACCACTAAAAACGCGACACTTAATATAAGTAATCGGTCTGACTGATCATAATAAGTCAAGGACCGTTATGAGAAGAAACCCCTCATAGTTGGGTCAATTGAAAGCTGGGACTTTTCAAAGAAGATAGGTGATAGTTAAGACTGATGTTGTCAAATTTTCCTTTATTTGTGAGAGATTTAATCATATTGTTTATGGTGTCAATTTAAAACATTAAAATAACGTTACCTTTGTCAATTATAATGTGGAGTACTGGAGTGTGGGCTCTCTTTCATTCTTCTGATTATCTTGATAGCTATTTCACTTTCATTTTATTAAAGATAGTTGTGTTTGAGCCTTGCCATTTTGAATTTGGTTGCAAGAGGAATTTTACATTAATTTGTGTGATCTATGTAAAATTTATTTGCAGACTCGAAATGCTATCTCTGGAACTTACTCAGCACCGCAAAGGTCTGCAAGCTCAGCTGCACTCTTAGTTGGTGATCCTACAATTATACGTGATAGAGCTGGGAATTTCGTGCTTCCAAGGGCAGATGTCATGAAGTTGAGAGATCGTTTGAGAAATGAAGAGTTGGCTGCAGGTTCTTTTTTAGCCAGATTCATAAGCTGTATAAGTCTTCAGTGTGAATCTACTGGTGATATGGGGCAGCGGGAGTTATGTGCTCATGCTCACATTTTGGCTTTGGAAGAGGCAATAGATACGGAGTGGGTGTGTATGTGGGATAAGTTCGGTGGTTATCTTCTTCTTTTGCTTGGTCTAACCGCAAAGGCAGAGAGGGTACAGGTAAAGGCCTTTGTTTCCGGTTTGGAGTCATCATTATTTGCTTCCTCTCTGCTTTAGTGGGCTTTAATTGTTCCAATCTGACATTTGATTTGTAATAGGATGAAGTCCGCTTGCGTCTTTTTCTTGCTAGTGTTGGATGCTCAGATTTAAGTGCCAAAAAAATAAAAAAATGGATGCCAGAAGATCGAAGACAGTTCGAACTTATTCAAGAGAGGTTGGTTGTGACAACTAGTAAATTTTCAAACAATTTGTAGTTATTCGTTGGTTTGTGCTTTGCTAATTGTGCTATGATTGCTCTAGCTATCTGAGAGAGAAGGAAATGGAAGAAGAAATCTTTTTACAGAGACGTGAAGAAGAAGGGCGGGGCAAGGAGAGGAGGAAAGCCCTTTTGGAAAAGGAAGAGCGCAAATGGAAGGAGATAGAGGCTTCTCTTCTGTCTTCTATTCCTGATGCTGGAAGCCGGGATGCTGCTGCAATGGCTGCTGCAGTACGTGCTGTTGGTGGAGATTCTGCACTCGACAACTCTTTTGCACGAGATAGGGTGTCAAATATTGCACATCGCATACGTGCAGCTCAATTATCACGTAGGGCGCTCCAGGTGGTGTTTGGTTGCATGCAGCTCTTACCTCTTATATGCTACTCATGTCTTGCTAGTTGTTCTTAAATATTGTCATGTTTAGAATAAAATCATTGTAGATGTCATAGTTCACCCCAAATCATGAAGTGCTAAATATTGTATTGAACTTCTTGCGATTAAACTAACAAGTTAGTGTATTTGGAATGTTTTTTGCCATCGGCAGACTGGAGTTCCTGGTGCTGTCTGTGTTCTTGATGATGAGCCTAGAGCAAGTGGCAGGCACTGTGGACTGGTAGATCCAAGTGTGTGCCAGAGTCAGAAGGTTACCTTGTCGGTTGTGGTGATGATACAACCTGATTCTGGGCCAGTTTGTCTATTAGGTACTGAATTTCAGAAGAAATTCTGCTGGGAATTCCTGGTGGCGGGTTCTGAACAAGGCATTGAAGCAGGTCAAGTTGGTCTTAGATTAATTACAAAAGGTGACAGGCAAAATGCAGTTGCGAAAGAATGGAGCATCAGTGGGACATGTATTGCAGATGGAAGGTTTGTCTATCAAACGTTGCTGTTTCAGAAAAGCATTATGTGGATTTGTTCTTCTTTGTGTGTGCTTGTACATAGGTTTGTGGCAGCAATTATGTATGTATGTTGTGTGCATATGCCATGTTCATCATACTGATTGTGTTTCTCTGACTGTCTGTACTTTGTTGTAACTAACTTCTGCTATCTGTTTAGTCCTTTAGATGACCTATGTTGTCATGGCATGTAATATTATTATGTGTGGAACATTGATTTACCAAGGTTAGTTATGCAGAAGTAAAAAAACACAAGTGATTCTGTAGTCGGATCAAACTATTTAGACCAGAGAAATTAGTTCACTAGCTTCACTTTTTGAGCTATTGTGGCGCATCTAGATGCCAATAAAATTTCTATTTACACAGCAGGTGCTGCTACCTATGACAGGCTGTGCAGTGGGCACACCTTTATTGCCTTAAGTGATTCTTCTTTTTTCTCCCTCTCTCTTCAGCGTCAAATTATCAACTTTTTCATTCTCTCTTCTTTAGTTCTAAAGGCTATTTTTGCCCCTTAGATTTAACTAAGGCTCTGTTTGGTTCATCTGTTTTTTGTCTTAAATTATATTATCTATTATCTGAACCTATATAATTTTTTCTGAACTTATTTGAACTTGTATTATTTTATCTGAAGATTCTGAACATATACTTCGTATTATCTTGTTTTGGCATAGAACTTCAATTTTTTCGTTAGAACTTATCTAAAGTTTTTTTGTTCTAATTTGTCTGAAATAATCTGAAATTTTCTAAAATTTCTGAAAAAAAACTTTTTTTTTTTACTGAACATATTTTGTCTGAATTAATTTTTTCTGAACTTGTTTTATTTGATCTTTTTATTTCTGAATTAAGATAATTTAAGTTCAAAGAAGATGAAACAAACAGTACCTAAATGTGCAATGTGGCTAAATTTTTACTAAAACACATGGCTAACGTGCAACTTGCTTACAAAGGGCACAAGTCTGGCGCCTAAATTTTGCGTCTCGCGCCTTTTAAAATTTTGCTGATGGTCGCTATTTCGTTAATGTCCTGCTTTTGTGATGAGGTATTGTGTATGTAGTTAGAATGAACTTCATGCACAATGCATTATCTCAGGGGACTCTTTATGTGACGAGTTTTAAATAGTAACCGATTCAGCTCTATATAGGCTAAAGTTTGCTTTGGGTTTTTCAATGTAGGAATTTAAGGGAAATTGGGCTTGTATTCTTTTTTTTTTTTACAAAATTTGGTCAGCCTACGATACTTGTACAGTTGTACATCCTTCCATATTTTGTGCTGAGACCGCAACATGATGTTGGTATGCTTGTCTAAAAAAAAAAAAAACATGATGGAGGTATGATTAAGTATGAAATCTGTGCTGGCCTTCATTTAGCACTCAGATGGGATTGCTTACTTGAATTTGCAATCTGTGTGACCGAATGTGGGAGGGAGAGGGGAAGATTGAGAGAACTTGTTGCAAGCCATGAATCTTGCTCACTTCAATTTGATTGCCCATTTCTTTAGATCGTATGTTTAGTCATCCATCGTCCTAAAGTTCAGTGTGAAATGTAAAGCTCTATGTTGAGCTTGCTCTCATTGATGGTGGAAGAGAGATGAGCTCAAAGATGAGTATTAGTTTGTAGTTTAACACAAGCAAATTAATTGGAGGAAGACATGCAAATTGAGATTAGAAAATAAGGGGAAGAGGAAAAAGGGGAAGTTGGGGGCTATGTACTTCTGGAAATATACTCTTGTATGGTTTATTATTTTCGTGGTAGTTCACTAGTACCGAACAATATTCTGTTTAGTAATTCATATTTTAAGTTCATGGATGTGTTTGAAAATATTTATAATTGAAACTTATAAGAATTGATATACACCAAAAGAAAGACATTTGAAAAGTAAATGAATATATGTGCCCTTGCTTATGCTGAAATTTAGGATAGATCACTAGTATTTGGGCTCAGGGCTATGCCCAGAGTCATTGCATAGAAATTGCAATTATACATTTAGTTCATGACATAATCTTCTTGAATTTAATATTTTGTTTGCAAAACAAAAAAAAAGAAATATGACATAGCTTAGCAATATGATATTTGGTTTTATTTCTCACATTGTCATTCACTACATTTTGATATTTTTTTTGCAAATAAAACAAAATAAAATAAAAAAATGACATAGCTTAGTGGTAAGACATGTAGTGTTAAAACTTGAAGTTGCATGTTCAAATCTTTTTTGGACAATATTTATAATTTTTTGAATGTTAGTTGATGACGTGGAATGAAAAACAATGAATTATGGAGAGTGCCACATGGCACGTGAACTTCCTTTGGAATGCTTTTTAATATATAAGTATAGATTTGTGTCTAAGGCTCTATTCACTTCACCTTATTTTGTTGAACAAAAAATATTTTTACTAAACTGAAACTATTTTTATTGAATTGAAATTAATTTTACCGAATTATTTAAGCTGTAATGAAATTATTTTTATCGAAGTGAACTTATTTTTACAAACTAAAATTAATTTTACCGAATATTATTTTTTTAAGGTGAAGTGAACATGGCCTAATAGTTTTGTCTTTGATGAATTAGTGACTCTCTAGAACACATAACCAAGCTTGGGTGCAAGTAGCTTAGAAGATTAATATATATATATATATATATATATATATATATATATATATATATATATATATATATATATATATATATATATATATATATATATATTATCTTGTTATATCTTCATATGGATTTATTAAGTAGAAACTAGAAAGTTGTATTGTATATTAGGAAGTCACTATATCAATGGTTACTAATGTAAAGTGTAATGATGTATGCAAAAATTGGACATCTGTTAAAGGAAAAGATTTCAAAGCATCATGAAGGGCTATGTACTTTCTCCTTTTCATTATTTATGTCCATTTATACATTTTGAAAATGAATATTTTTTAAACAAATTTTATTTCTCTGTTTGGTGAGTTATGTCAAAATAATGTCTAGTAACTAATAACCCCTTAATCATTGTTTTCTTTCAGAAATTGAATGGAGATTTGTGTTCTCATTAGTTACAAACCTTAATTTACTAAAAATGTTCGGACTTTGTTGTGGAACAGTTCAAAACAGTAAATTTATCTGTAGTGGGATTGAGGGAGTGTAAAGCTAACACCTTGAATGGCATACTGTTGCTTTTCTGCGTTCTTCTTTGAATGGGCTCCTCTTGTTTGCTGTCATAATGTGGACTTTACTACTATGATATCTGTAAGGTAGACTTAGTGTTCATCAGCAAGTATCTCATCATCCCATGTTTCAATACCCAGGTGGCATTTGGTAACAATGACGATTGATGCTGACCTTGGTGAAGCAACATGCTTTGTTGATGGTGGTTTTGATGGTTTCTTGAATGAATTACCTCTTCAAGTGCTGAATGGTATTTGGCAACAAGGAACAGAAGTTTGGATTGGTGTTAGACCGCCTACTGGTGTGGACACGTTTGGTAGGTCTGATAGTGAAGGAGCTGAGTCCAAAATGCATGTAATGGATGTTTTTCTTTGGGGAAGGTGCTTGAGTGAAGAGGAGATTTCCACTCTTCATGCAAATGTGGGTGCACCTAACTACAATATGGTCGATCATCTCGATGATAATTGGCAATGGGAAGATTCGCCTTCAAGGGTATGTTGTATACATCTTTGTCTCATATATTTTTTACGTTAACTCAGATTCTGTATTGTACATTGATATAGATAATTTATGTCCAAGTGTTAGGTTTTTGGCTATCAAAAAACGTTTGGGTCCAAATTGAAGTCTTAAGTGTTGGTAACCTTGTTAGGGTGTTTTATGCGTGCTACACAGATACACTTGAGGTAAATGAAGAGTCCGAGTATCATAGGCTCAGTATGATTACTTAGTCTCTAAGTACTTTGAGCAACTCAACTTTTAACTTCTAGTGTCATATATGTCCAGGTGTTGGGTCCTTGGCTATTTTTTACAAAAAAAGAAAAAAACAAAAAAAGAAAAAAAAATAAATAAAATTTCACTTCAAGATGGGGTAGGAGATATATGTACCATGTTGGATTGTCAAGTATGCTACTTGGTAAGTTTGGAGAGTCTGAGTAACATAGCTTCAGAAGGAATCTACCTTATAATAAGTTTGGAAAGTCTGGATAGGAGATATTTGTACCTTATTGGATTGTCAAGTATTCGATCGTTTAGGTCACTACTTCACTATGACAGTTAGACCACAATGCCTATAAATTAAAGCCTATATGTGACTGGTAGACTCTTGTAACCATAAAATGTGTTCAATTTCTTGATAAATTGAAATATGACCAACAGTTGTTCGAATGTATATAATATATTTTTTAACACTTCTTTTTACTAGATAATGCGCATAAATCTCATGATAAGTGCCCAAATATCCATAGTGAACTTCAGTGGGTGCTTCTTTTGAAGCAATAATGCGTTGGCCGTATCTGTAAAAATTATTCAACATGCTCTAGAAGCAATTTCAGGAGGTACCTATGAGATTTTAGAAATCTGACTTTTTACTAAAATATATTATCATGAATGGAATCATTTTGATTATCGATTTATTAGTAAAAAGTGATCACCTTCTTTTGAATTGTTGAAACAAGAAGTTTATGTAAGAGTTGAAGAACCATGAGGTGAATTAGGAATATTTTTGATAGGAGATCAAAGTATTTTTCCTTGGAGATGGAAAGTTCAGCCTTATTATGGGTTCATTACCACATACTTTGAATCTTCCAATATGTTTTTGGGTAGATATAGGATGTAGTTTAAATAATGAGGTTGTTTATTGTGGGACTTTGTAGGTTGATGAGTGGGATAGTGACCCGGCAGACGTAGATCTGTATGATAGGGATGATGTAGATTTTGATGGACAATATTCTAGTGGGAGAAAACGGAGATCTGGGCGTGAAAGTGTTGTGTTTGATGCGGATTCGTTCTCGAGAAAATTGAGAAGACCAAAGATGGAAACTGAGCAGGAGCTAAATCAGCGAATGCTGTCAGTTGAAATGGCTGTTAAAGAGGCTGTTTCTGCCAGAGGTGAAAAACATTTTACTGACCAAGAATTTCCCCCAAATTACCAGTCATTGTTTGTGGATCCAGAAAAACCTCCTCCTAAGTTGCAGGTAAATGTCAAGATTATGATTTAAGGCTCTTTGATATTACCTTGTCAGTAATATGGCTAACCATCACCTTCTTATCCAGGTTGTTTCCGAATGGATGAGGCCAATGGATATAGTGAAACAAATTCGAGCAGATTCTTGTCCATGCTTATTTTCTGGTCCAGCAAATCCATCTGATGTTTGCCAGGTTTGATACTGTAGTCCTGCTTGTGTTTTCTAAAGTTTGTTTGTTTTATATTTCCTCTGTCCCATATTAAAGTCCCACTATCTTAGGGTCTGTTCACATTTATTTTTAATTTTTTGTTCTCTATTTTTTAAATTAATTATTGTTATTATTTTTTTTTAATACTCCCTCCCTCCCACTTTATTTTTACCATTTCCATTTTTGGTGTCCCAAAATGTGCTTCCCATTTCCTTTTTTGGCCTTCAAGTATTCGCTTTATGACTTGGTTGGAAGGAGTTAAGAAGGATATGAAGTATATGGATTTGCATGAGGATGAAGCATTGGATCGTAAGGGATGGAGGAGGAAGATCTTAGTGGATGACCACACGGAATAATCAAATTTGGTTCATTAGCCGACCCCACTTATGGGATTAAGGCTTTGATTGATTGACTGAAGTATTCGCTTTATGTCTTCATTGGAAAATGTTAATGTGTTCACTATAAATTTAAAAAATCTTGGGGACCATCAATATCCACTAAATTCCAAAATGACTTTAGTGTCATCTCTCTTTTTTGTCATAGGTTTACTAAAAATACAAAATAAATGTCAACATCTAATCATTAGTCATACCATGTCTCACCTACCTTAATTCCTGTGAAATAAACTCCAACGGGAAAAATTAAAAGGGATGGAGGGAGTACTATAAACAAAAAAAAAAAAAAAAAAAAAATTCAGAAAAGTGGTTTGTACTTTTTGTTGCTAGTTTATAAATCCATGATGATTCTAATAAGTTTGACTATTATCTGCCTTTTTAAAGATATGTATTGTATGACTTTCCAAAACAAAAAGTCAAAAACAGTGTTTTTAGTAAAAAAAAAATTTCGAAATAAACCAAATCCCACTATTTTATCCTTTTACCCACTTTCCTAAAAACATTTTCAAAAGGCAAATGAAACTTTAATTTGGGGATGGAGGGAGTATGTCAAGCTGCTTTGTTAGAACCTCACATAAATTGTTTGGACATTCAGGGGCACTTAGGCGATTGTTGGTTTTTGAGTGCTGTTGCTGTTCTAGCTGAAGTCTCTCGAATCTCCGAAGTGATTATCACTCCAGAATATAATGAGGAAGGAATATACACTGTTCGCTTCTGTATTCAGGTAATACGTTTTGTACCTCATATTAGGGTAAATATATATGCTTAAGTGATGTCATTGTTTAATTATCTTTTTGCTATTTGTTTTTATTATACGTTATATGCTTAATTTTTTTTTTTTTCTATTTCGAAAGCGCACTCCTTGCTCAGGACTTGCATATATGCAGTATTTGTTTATAATTCATTGAAGCTGTTTGTATTAACCTGCCTATATCTGTCTGTAATTCTTTATAATTTTAAAAAGTTTCCTAACAAATTTTGGAATATACTTTAGAAGATGGGCTATTATTTTGGGTAGATTAACGTGTGAGAACTTCTCAGTTGTAAACATGTCCTACTACGTTAAATACTGACAGAAGCTAACAAAAAATACGCAACATATCACACTTATATATGTGTTGCGCATACTTTTAAAGTCAAGGGATTTACAGTGCGTAGAGTCAGGACTCAGGTTAGAAGATATTTAATGAATTTTTCTAGAATTCATCTCCTTTATTATTATTTTTTATTTTTTGCCTTGTTTTTGATGGATTTCTGGTTCCCCTCTTTATTACATACATTGCTTATTATGGATTGACGTGAGCAAGTTGTACTACTGTTTTGTGTTTTCTTTGGAAAAAAACATTTCTGCACTAATGCTCGTCTTGATGAGAAAAAAAAAAGTGGAAAGTAAACTTTTTAACTGATGTCTGAGTAAGTAATATTTTGTGTCGAAGTACTGCAGAGAAACTTCATCAGAATGCTTAATGATGCTATGTAGGTGCATGATTTTATTTTAATTTTTGATTGCAACTGAAATCAACCTATTTTGTACATGTTACCATTGTTAGATTAAGGTTTTGAGCTTTGTACGTTCTTATAACTTTGGTCTTAACAACCTTAGAACAATCCAATTGTGTGCTCTTTAGGGTGAATGGGTGCCTGTTATTGTTGATGATTGGATTCCATGTGAAGCGCCTGGAAAACCAGCATTTGCTACGAGTCGCAAGGGAAATGAACTCTGGGTTACGGTGTTGGAGAAGGCATATGCCAAGTTGCATGGTTCCTATGAGGCATTAGAAGGTGGACTTGTCCAGGATGCTCTAGTAGACCTCACTGGGGGAGCTGGTGAAGAAATTGATATGAGGAGTCCACAGGCACAGATTGATCTTGCAAGTGGGAGATTATGGTCTCAATTATTGCGCTTTAAACAAGAAGGTTTCTTACTAGGTGCTGGGAGCCCATCTGGTACTGATGTGCATGTCTCTTCTAGTGGCATTGTGCAGGGGCATGCCTACTCAATATTGCAGGTTAGTTTTTCAACCACTCCCCTGACCGTATTTGTTCACATTAGCTTTTCTTGTCCTGCAAAGCTCTAGGAACTGATAGTTGTAGATCACTCTATTTACCTTGGGTCCGTATGATGAGAAATAAAACTTTAATGATGCAGGTTAGAGACGTAGATAATCACAAGCTTGTTCAGATACGCAATCCATGGGCAAATGAGGTTGAATGGAATGGACCTTGGTCGGATTCTTCACCAGAGTGGACAGATAGGATGAAGCATAAACTCAAGCATGTTCCTCAGGTGTTTAATGCTTCTGTGTGTCTTGTTACTCAGTTTAGGGCTTCTTTTACTTCCTGAGTTCCACGGTATCTTTATGTACTGTGTCCAAAACTGTGTTTCCATGTATGAGCGTCTTGCAAGATTTTTAAAATATTGTTTACTTCTTACACAGTCCAAAGAGGGTATATTCTGGATGTCCTGGCAAGACTTTCAGATCCATTTTCGGTCTATATATGTCTGCCGCGTATACCCCCCTGAGATGCGCTATTCTGTCCATGGGCAATGGCGAGGATATAGTGCTGGTGGCTGTCAAGATTATGATACATGGAATCAAAATCCCCAGTTCCGCTTGAGGGCGGTTGGAGCAGATGCATCGGTTCCAATACACGTCTTTATTACTCTAACCCAGGTATGGAAAACAAATTACCTTCTGATACAATGGGTATTGTAAATACATCTGATGATGTTTTTCTGTCAGGGAGTGAGTTTCTCTCGAACCGCCACTGGTTTCAGGAACTATCAATCAAGTCATAATTCAACAATGTTCTATATAGGAATGAGAATACTCAAAACTCGTGGCCGACGGGCAGCTTTTAATATTTACTTGCATGAATCTGTTGGAGGGACTGATTATGTTAATTCCCGAGAAATATCGTGTGAAATGGTTTTGGATCCAGATCCTAAAGGCTATACTATAGTGCCTACAACCTTTGCCCCTGGAGAAGAAGCACCATTTGTTCTCTCTGTTTTTACAAAAGCATCAATAACATTGGAACCTTTATAGTCTCGTCTAGCATGTCTATACATGCATTTTTGGTTGGCCTCTGACCTCCCTGCTGAGCTTTGATAAAGGTTGTCCCTAGCCTATGCATAATGAGCAGGCTGTTTGATTGAATTACGGGGCTGTGCGGATAAACATGGTATTGCTTCTGATTTTTTTTTAAAAAAATAAATAAAAAAGATCTCTGCATCCTGTTTTTCAGTCTCTGAGCTGAATAATATCTTTTCTTTGCAGATCCAGGATCAGACATTGTGCTTAGCATCAGCTATTATGGTTGTATGTGGATGAGGTAAATGATCAGCAATTGCCAAGATGCAATCTACCATCCTTGGGTTGCTCATACTGCAAGTTACTGCTGTTGCTAGTACTGGGGGAACTCTCAGAGAATTACTGTGTACATCAATTTCTTGTAAATGACGCGAGAAGAGTAAATAGATAGGCAGGAGAAATTGTAAGTAGAAAAAAAAAAAAAAAGAAAAAAACATCAAATGTATTGTCGCTTTAGGGAGCTTTAGCATGCTCATAACTCAAGCTCATTCATTGTTTATAGTTTATAGTCAATCAGCTACATGTCTGATGCTAATTCATTGTCCATAGCCAATTTTGTACAGATTTCAATCATTTCATTATTTGATCGATAATGTAACCTCTTTTTTCCTACACATGTGAGCTAATCGATAATATAACATGCTCGTTTAACATGTGAAGAAAGTGCAAGAATCAAAGCAATCTTTACTAATGTTGTCATAGACGTGGTAAAACCGGAGAGGAACATTTGCTATTGCTAATCTTGTATAACCAACAACCTCCATAACAAAGTCTGGTCTTGCATTGTCTATTAAATTCAGGTTACAATACCTCCACGTTGCATACATAATTTTGAAGATCCTTCGCAGATTTATATTTTGCTAGCCAAAACCAACGATCTGAAAAAAAAAGTGGGTGCTTCACTCAAGCAATCCTTCCACACACTATGATGCTCTATCACATACGCAGCTTCACAATCAACAAGGGAGGTTAGCGTCTTGACTTGCCAATTGCCATAGGGCCAAAGTATAACAAGTCCTCAGAATGGGCCAAGACATGAATGAGATGGTTTTGGGAGCTAAGTAGGCGTTCAAGAGCCCTATTATAATCCTAGGAATGAATTGCTGCATGATCTTTTCAGTTCCAAAATGTTCTTTCGAAGCCAATTTTGAAGGCAATACACAAATTGAAAACCAATTTCGAAGGTTTTGGGACCTATTGTCGAAAAATCTTGGGATTAAAGAGGATGCATCTCATGTTTATATAATGTTGTCTACAACCAAATTCAACCATTAGTGGGTTACATAAATGCTTGTGGAAGCCTTTAGTCAAAGAAAAAGGTATATACGTTAACGGTTAAATATATTTAAAGGGAACGTGCACAATTCAAACAACCCAGATGGCCTCCCAAGGTACCATGGTACCCATGGGAAGCACCCAAAATTGTTTCCTTTACAGGTTTAGAAAAGTAAAAAATTATCTAAAAATAAAGGTGTTATCCACGATATTGGACAAATTTTTAAGGTTTTAGTCCGAGTGTCAAAGACATTCAAGATGGTAAGGGAAGTATCCCGAGGTAATGTGATGTTGTTTGGCTGTCACAATATTATTAAGGGGCATATGCTTGGCGATCCAATTCATTACAAATAAGCGGGCATAGAGATGTAATCTGCCTTCAAGGCTTCTGATCGTATTCGTGTGTTGGTCTTCTAGTAAAACTACTTGATTTATGTAATCTTCCAAATGAACTAGCGATTATGCTTGTCTAATATTGCACACATATTTTGCATTTGTAATCTATTTTATAAAGTTTCTAAATTTTAAACATGATGTTTTTGCATTTGATTACGTACTGAAAAACAAATTGATGCATATTTTTGACAGTTTATACTTAGTGGAAGAATTTTAGTGATTTTAATAGTGGAAATTTGAAGGATAATCTTAGAAGGCAACGACTTCTAAGTTTGATCTTAGGAGCAAAGATCCTAAAACCCTAGTTAACAACTAGTTCGAACCTTAACAAAGTTCTCTTCGAGTATAAACTCAACAATCTAATTTTTATTTCATAATAAACGTCCAACTATAATTGTTGACATGTATCAAATATATATAGGAAAAATAAATCTAACCTACTTGCCCTGTATGCAAACTAAATAAAAAGCCCTAATAATTAATTAATGAACCAAGAGAGCCCACTAATTAATTAATACAACTTTGAAAGCCCAAGGCCCCATAACTACTACTAAGAAAATAATAAAAACATTATTAAAAACTCACTTATAAAACCCCTACTTTAAGAGTAAGGTAAAACCAAGAGAGTATCTAAATAAAGCAATAAAGATAGTTATAAGGGGACTCGATTCACATCACAAATCACCTGACAATTGCAATAATTTTATAAGGTTCAATATTCCCAAAAAAAACAGCACTCTTAAGCATTGAACAATTGCAATAATCGTCCGAGGATCAATATTCCAAATGGAAGCAATTCTTAGATAGCACTTGGACGCCTTCTTTGTCTCGAGACCTTGAATTGTTTTTGAACTTGCAAGCCAGGCTGGGATGTAAATGTACAACAACTCAAAGCATAAAGCGGCTCAAAAGAACTCTCCTGTTATCTCATGCTACTCTTACCTGCATTTCACAAGCCTATTTCCAAATCTCACCCATCACTGGGGCTAAACAGAAGGATCCATAGTCACTATTTTTAAAGTCTGTCTATACACCATCTAGTGTCGGAGAAAGAAGCTACAATTTCCAGTTCAAATCACAAGAAACAGTGCTATTAACCCACTAAAACCAATTCCTGCCATTTAATCAGAATGTAGTCCTAATGTTCCTATAATTTTATACACCTTTCTCAGGCTAGTTACTTTCTTTGATTAATATTCTACAGCTTATCTGCCAATGGGGGATTCAGTTATTTTCCCCAGGAGATAATATACATACAGAATTTACACGTTAAACGACGATACAGATGCACTGATTAGTCGACCCAGCAGACGTGTACTACCGCAAAGAAGCCTATTAAAGAATACTTGATTCACATCTCTATGCTAACATCTATTCAATAAACATAATCTGTTGACAAGGATTATAGTTGTGGCCTTTCTGGCGGACCAGAGATTTCCTTCTCAGCAAAATATAGCAGCCTTCTCAGTCTTAACACCATGTCACAATGAAAGGGTAGTGCCGTACGTCTCTCCAGATATGCTGGACTCACTGTCAACCAAGATAAGCCATGGAGTTCAGCCATAACAGACTCAAGAATCGAGTGAATCTCAAGCTCATATTCCCTGGCATCAGAAACAATTCCCCTTCCTGCTTGCTTAGGAAGTGATCTGCCCAATTTCTCAGTAGGAACACCACAACCACCATAGAAATCAACAAGACTAACTGAAAGAACTGAAGGCCATTCTTCCTTCAACTTGTTGATATCTTTCTTAAGTGTGGGAACAGCTTTGGAGACAACAAAACCTGTTGAAAGTGGAATTGCATAGCCTTTACTGTGAAGGAGATGAGCCAGAGGAGGGGATTCAGAGGTCAGGCATGTTGGAAGCTGAAGAGGGAAGGGAGTGAGGAAATGCATACTAGGAGAAGGGATCAAAATATAAGATGCTGATGTAGAACCAAGAGATCTAACAGGGGTAAATCCTTCAAGGTAATTCAATGAACCTGTGACGCCACTACCTTGACTGCTCCCTGCAGCAAATAATTTTTGTTAATAAATTAAGGACAGCTTACAGCATTGGAAACAAATAGATTTCATTCGGTAACAGAGCAAGCTGACATTGCTATACGCCTATATATAAGAGATAAAAACATGATTTAAAATAGGTAGGTAAGGTACCCTAATGAATTTTTTCATATTTACACAATTACTCATAGCAATTGTTTAAGGAATTGTCATTACAATTCAAAATATAGTAAATAATGCCTGTATGCCTCTACTCAATACAAAATTAACATGAAAATGCTGTTAGTCTTGACAAAATCATTCTAATTTCTAAATAACAGGAGCATTTAATATCAATGCATACATTTGTTTTTCACATTTTTCAACACATAACTTAGACAAGTAATATGAGTATATGACTATTTTATCATGTATAAATTACTAAAGATGGTCAAAGGAGGAAAATTTCATGAACATAGAGAGCTCTGCCAAGGAGTTGCATGTCACAATTTTGAATTAAATTAAGAAACTATTCAAAAATTTTAAAAAATAAAAAATATACTTCAGGTCAACACTTAGAGAGTAGAGGGGGGTGGTAAGAGAATCACCAACCCCCAAACATATGTAGAATTGTAGATGGTGGGGCTTGAATTTGTGACTTTTTAAAAGTCGCAAGGTGAGGGGGAGGTAAGGGAATCTCCTACCCCAAGCATATGTAAATAATGGGGCACGAACGTAAAATCACAAAGGTGAGTTTCCCACCATTTCCACCAAACATGCTTGGTTACAAGCTTACAACATATCCATTTTTGGGAAGCTGAAATATACTTCCTCTGCCTAGTGTTTCTCTCTTCTCATCAAATGGGTTGCTCTAGATATCTCTCTCTATTTTTCTCCTCTCCTAAAGATTGTGCATCCCCCAAGTTGCAATTAAAGGAAAACAAAGATTAAAAGAGTGAAATTCAATGAACTACTTGAGGATTGATATAATCAAATAGAGTGATACACAAATCAGTAATTATAACATCGTGTACCATTAGAATCATTACACAAAATGATGACAAAATACTTAAGTACAAGTGTACAAGATCATTTTACTAGTTTATTGTCATATTACAGATAGGCTTAGTTTATTAATTTCATTCTCCTAAATTTACATAAACAGCTTATAAACATTTGCACATGACAAAGTAATACTTCCTCCATTCTTTTTTAATTGCAATATTTGGATTTCACGCTATCGTCACTTATTCCTTTGACAGCATTTTGTGATTTATATGTTACAAAAAGTAAAGTCATGTGGAATCTTGCTAGATTCATCTTGACATATATTTTCAAACTAATTTTATTTATAATATGTATTAAAAGACAATTAAAGATATTTAATGCAAGAGATTTGCATTGGCAAGCATGAATCTCTCAATATCGCAATTAATATAAAATGGAGTACGTACTTTCTTTATTTTAATTATCAAATACGGTAAGGACATTAGCAGCAGGCAAGATCTGGAACCATAATTTAACAGTTTCACAGCCTGATGTCATCACTAATATAGGTAAAGTAGCCATTTCTTGCACATCAAGGTAACGAACGAAAAAGAACAGGCAAGAGAGGGAATTACCAGTAGAGACATCAGCTTGAGAGACAAGGTGTAAAGAATGGTCAACGGAAACTGAAATAAAGCTGATGCTCTGAACCAACTGCAGTGATCCTCTTGAGCCATCAACTGCAGGCCCGCCAATAAGCTGCTTTCTACCAGTAGTTTTCATAAAGCCAGTAGATTTTGAGTGAGGACTATACATTGGATTTGGGGATGAAGGTAAGCTTCTTTCAATTTCCTGCTGCTGCAGGGAAGCTCCGTTACTGTTTGTCGGCATACCATCTGGAGTAGTTCGGCGTAATTGCAATGGCCATTTCTTTACTTCTGACCCGCCAATTGAATAGAGTGCCTTTTGCCATTCTGTTCAGACATATATCAACTTAAGATGTTAGTTAAACACGCGACCGGTGCGAGAGCACCAACACTCCACAACTAAATTGTGTCAACACATAAACCACTAAACATGATAGGAAAAGAAGGAAAAAAAAAAAAAGATTGGCTGCATAGAGCCGTGCAAGTGGGATGAAGTCATAGCCAATCATTCTGACTTGGATGACCAGACTTTCGAGCTACATTATAACCCTTCTTTCTCCAACCTCTAAGCACCACATGATAGTCTGACACCCTGAATTCATAGCCCATAGAACTTCTGCAGATGCTGCAGAAGAGGTGCAAGCATATTGCTCCAAGATTTACCACCAAACCGCACTTTAAAATACCCCTCAAAAACCAATATAAAGGTCTTATTCATATAATATACAGGGGCATACATGTAACGCTTATACAATTGAGACCAATTTATTAAATGTGGTCGTTCAAATTTCAGCTAATTTCATTCCATTCTACTTCCATTTTCAATTATCTTATGGTGATATAGGGGCAACTATGCCGCAATCTGTAAGAAATTGACGTCACTTTTATGAGGCAATATATTAGAACATTAAAGACCATATGAAGGATAATTAGCTAAACTCGTGGAAAGATTATGCATGTATACCTTGGCATTCTAGCTCGTAAAAGCACCCAATCCGTGTAATGACAAAATCTCTTGCTCTTGCCACACCATTATCAGGAGTGGCACAGGCCTGCAGTAGCTGGCAACCTTGTTGAAGAACTTGGACGAAAATGTTCTGCATGCCTTTTGTATCCTGTCTACTACTAATACCACCAAAAGGAAATATATGATTGTCCAGCAGTTCTCCCCTAGAATCAGTCCAGATGCACACCAGCCAACGCCAATCTTCAGTCCAACCATAGCAACAATGCAAGCTTGGGGACGATCTCAGCAGGCCAGATCCATAACTATCTCCTTCAGATCCATCAAGTTGGGAGCTGGGTACTGTATCCCCACATAGTGTTGAATTCTGAGCAAACCCTCCACTGCTATCATCTGTAGCCACATTACCAATGGGTGTAGGCGATACTCCATGCTCCGCTGAGCCTGGTTCAGCCATAATAAAAAGTGGTTCAAACATGTAATGAGCCTGCTCTTGAAATAAAGCATCTCCACTCCGGTTTGCGTCACAACTTAGTCCCCCGGCCCTTGCAGTCTGCCATGAATTATCCCAGGTTCCAGCTCTCATACCAGGATCAAACTCACCTTCTCTTGATAAGGACGAACCCGAAAAACGAGAACCGACACAGTCTTTCCACATACCCGGAATCGGATTAGCCATGTTCACCAGCATGGATGAAGATCTACCAGAGAAGGTTGATGGCTGGATAAATTCATTGGAGGATCCACGTAATATACGCCTAGCTTTGTTGTAAACAGTAAAAGCTATCTCCTTGAACAAAACAAGTTCATTGAGACTCGGACTTGAAACTCGGAAGATAGCATCTATGGGAACAATTTGCAGAACTATCCTTGGAATACTGAACCCAGAAAGCGTGGGAATATTTGATATGGACACTTCATCAACACCAGCTGCGTGGTTTAAAGCTTTCCCCACCTGACTATGCAAAATGGCTCTTTTGTCATTCTCTGTTGAGAAAAATACTGACGCAACAGCAACTGAAGATTCAACAATGGTTTGGAGAACAGCAATTGGATCAGGAAACGGGCACACAACATAGATCACCTGCTCCAAATAGCAACATAGAATAATGTCAACAGACCTAGCATGCACAAAGGCCACATTTCCAAGGAACGTAAAAAGAGTATATGTATTTTTGGCAATTGGCATACAAGAGAGAGAATGATTAGAACTGTAGTGTATATCAATCAATCAAAGCCTTAATCCCATAAGTGGGGTCGGCTACATGAACCAAAAGTGATAATTCCGTGTAGTCATCGACAAAAATCTTCCTCATCCATCCCTTACGATCAAATGCCTCATTCTCATGCAAATCCATGTACTTCATATCCTCCTAACTCCTTCCAACCAAGTCATTTCCGGTCTCCCTCTCCCTCGTTTAACCCCTCCATGGTACCACTCATCCACTCTTCGTACCGGTGCACCCTCAAGTCTCCATCTTACATGCCCAAACCAACGCAAGCGATTTTGTATATATGTCAGTTTAATTAATTAATGGTAAGGTCATATTTGTCAGTTTAATTAATGACTTTAGTGTATATGTGTCAGTTTAATTAACGGTAAGGTTATATGTGTTAAGACTTGAGGATATATATGGCACAGAAGTGTAGAAATAAGGTTCAAAATAAAAGTTATACATTTATGCCAACTAACTATTTGATAAGTTTCTCAAAACACGGAAACGATTTCCAAAGATTTCCTTGACCACAGTGAGAGAGTGAGATATCTTGTACTTTACGTAGAGCCCATCAGAAATAGCAATCGAAATAAATAAGGATTGGAGTGTCCATTTAAGACTTTTTTTCAAAGAAAGGACCTAATACAGACTATAGCCAGTCTGAGAAGGACTACATCTGAGTAAGCATTATCTTTAGCACCATCAACGACACTGCTAGAAACTTTGCTCCATCCCCGCCCCCACTGCAGTGCTCTCCAAGAACTGTAGGATAAACAAGCAGTAAAACCTAGATACATAATTTCTCCCAGTGATATAATGACAATTTGTGAGCTAATATTCCTCTGTAAAGACCCGGTTATGGATCAAAGGTATGTGGGAGACTTTATATAAGCAACATTATCTCCAAACAAGTACTAAAAGAAAGAGCAATTAAACAGTTGACATTTTCCCTGTGACAGAATAACATTTGGCAAGGATTTTTTACTTTATTTTAATGTTGATATACAATGACATAAAATACTAGTATAAGGTTTAAACACTTTAAGAGGATCGTTTCTTTGCTTTACTAGTATTGTATATTTGAATCTTTTCGCTGGTAAAACTAGTCTGCATACATACTCAGTCCAATTATAATATCTTTTTTGCATGATAAATCTAAAAATTTATTACTTACAATTATAATATCAAGAATACCATAAAATACAAAATATTCAGACGTAAAACACACACCAAAAAAGCCTTAACTAGATACATTACAGAGTGTCTCTTTATTTACCAAAGTAACAATCTTCCTACTAATGATATATATATATCACCCAAAGCCTAACAGGAGTCAAATATTGGCAAAAGGAAAACTGAAAACAACACCAGAACCTTATTTCAATTAAAAAAATAAATTAAAATAAAATAAAATAAATGAATAAGGTTGGCTACATCTAGAGTGGTCATTCACAAAGATCCACTTCATTCACTTAAAAATGTGCAAAGATGACACTTTTCACACATGAGTTTACAATATGATATCAAAAACAGTGTGAATAACAGGTGAAATGAATATAAGTCTTAAAATTTGAAAGGAAACATCTTTGTCAAAAAATTGAAATGAAACATTGTGGTGTTATTTAAAATCAAAAGAATAGCGGAATACAAGATAATGCAATTGCAAACCAACAATTTTTTCATGCTTGGCATCATCCGAGCCAAAGATTGTTACCAAAAATAAAAACCATTGTACAATGTAGATCAAGAAGATATCACTTACAGTACAGGAACTATTATTTCCTTCTTTTGCATTTGCAGCCGAACACGACCCAAGTTGTAAAGTTTTAAGAGCTTTTGCAAGAGACCTAAGATAGCTTGCAATATCCCAACTACTTGATAAAGACTGATAAAAGTCACTTATTGACCCAATACCAATACCAGAAGCATTGGTGCTTTCTACCTTCACTGATTGGGGGATATCAAGGAGAACAAAGCCAGAAGTTAAACACTTCCCTGAGTCTACATCCATTTGATTTCCAACAGCATGTGGTGAATGGCTCCCCAATTTGCACATCTCATAAACTAGACAGAAGAAAAAGTAAATTATCAAAAGTAGTGATCCTATCCTCAAGCTAAAGGGCAGGAAAATCAACAAATACAAAAATATTATTAAACGTGAAAAGAAAGGGTATGCAGGGGTTTAAAAGCAAGCCAAAGAGAGATGCAACTGTTTTCCATAACTAAATATTTAAAAAAAAAAAAAATCTTCCATTAGTTGTGGGCAAGTGATGGTGTTCATGATAAGTGTAAGGCTACACACATCCATCCATCCCCCGAGGCAAGACAGGAAACTTTTTTTGAGGCACAATACACTTAGGGAAAAGAGCCACATTCACTTGAGTAATAAGTATAATTGATTTGTACATTAGGGCAAGAATAAAGCAAGTTCTAACTCCCGTTTTCCCAAATGTGTGTGTTGGGGGGGGGGGGTGGTCAACAGAACACTACAATACGTTATACTAAAGCCTTGACATTAAACAGCTAGACTAATGTCAAAGGAATGCGTTTTGGTCCCATCTTCATTTTCCTCTAATTTTTGAGTTGGGTTACAAAGGGAGGATATTTACCTGTACAACGTCCTCTTTCATGTTTAAGTGAGATAATATTAAGAACCTCAACAAAATGGAATTACAATTATTATCTCCCAAACATCAATATTTCAGAAGGAACATACCCAAACATGAGGATATCTATATATTACAGACAAGTAAAAAAAAAAGATCCATCAAATTCTCCAAAGACAAGTAAACAATAAGCTACGATAACAAAATACCTTAACAGTTAACAAGCAGGATGAAAAGACAAATAAGGTACACCATCATGGCCTATGTTACTCCAAAGACTTGGCAAATTTAAGTTTTCAAGACACGGATACCCTGTCCTTAATATAAATGGGTACGGGGACACAAAACAAGTAAAAGAAATTGTTTTTTTAAAAAAAAAAAAAAAATTGAAGTTTTTTCCAAAATAAAAAATAAAATAAAAAATTGAAGTGGAAAAGTCAAAGAAAAAATCTGTTCTATAATGTTTTCCAGGGATATTGAAGACAACAAAAAAATAATAATAGTAAGAGTAATAAAGTACAGCTTTAAAAGACAAACAATTGAATTAAAAAAAAGGAAAAAAAAATAATAATGGTACTGTGATATCCGAATACTGTTCCCAAAATCCGGGACAAATTCCATACCTAGATCAGTGTCGGGTTAGGTCGACCCGGGTATGAGGCCTAAATGGCCGTTTCGAAGTAATACACAACATGGCTGCCCCAACATAAATATTATTCATATTCCATAATTGAATATAACTTCATCAACATAAGAGAACTTCTCCTTATGCATGCCACTCATGAAAGGTACTTACTCCTTTCTATTAACTTGACTAACATTCCTTAGATGAAAATGTCATATTACTTGATCCATACTATATTTGGTAAACTTTTGGTAAACAAATTCACTAAATTAACCTCATAAAGTACATATGGGGACAACTTTTGGGGTAATGAAGTAAACCACCAAGGGGGTGAACTACAATTTCTCTCTCCTCTCCTTAAATATTGTGCCAAAGGCTATGGGTCAAGTAAATAGAAACGGATATTTGGATGAAGCTAGCAGCTAAAATACACTTAACCTTTTGGAGGACAGTATATATCAAGTAATGAAAACACGGAAAAGAACTTTCCATCTCACTGGAAAAGTATCTACAACGTCAAGCACTTTCCATATATCATATAAAATCTTTACGAAGTATTTGCGAATAAAAAACAGGGGACAACAAATGCTACCCAAATGAAAATTCAATACTAACAATAATAAATAAATAAATTAAATAAATTAAAATAAAAGGCGAAGCTAGAAAATGAGATACTAGTAATTTTCACTCACCACTTCCAAGTTCTTGAAAAAAATCAGCAGCCATCATAGTAAGGGAATTGATATTTGGACAGACAGCATAATAAGACACCTGCAACCAAATAAGGGTGTGAAATGACACCAAGAAAACATCAGACAAAGATTAAGGCCGGTTTTGTAAAATTGGTTTTTGAAAAACACAGATTATTCTAATATTTTAGAATCAGTGGAATATGACAGATTTCCATCTGACAAACCTCTAGTAACTTACATGTTTTTGGAAAGCATACGGCTCAAGTGGAGCCTTTTCCCATAACTGTAAAGAGCTTGCTGATGTCTTCAGCCAATCATCTTGGTACCTACAACAAAATTTCACGTTATCCTCAATGGAGATTATTGGATTTTATTTGCCACCATAATTTACAAGTTACATTAGGCAACAATTCCATGCAATCAACTTGAAAGATGTATAGCACATTATTGACGAGGTTTACTAAAACAATATGAAATATTAAATCGATATAGATCAACAAAATTTTGATTATTGGAAAAGTGGCAATTGCTTGTAATTAGAAATTCAAAACGTCAAGAACTTTTACTTGAAAAAAAGACGGTCAATTCTTACATTAACCTAACCAAAAAATACACATCTACCTAATGATAAAAGGTCCAGGTCCAAAAAAAGGAACGAGAGCAAGAGTAATCAGTTGTATACCCAACAAGTATAGAAGTAGATGGAATCACAAGCAAAGAAGGTCTTCTCCGTGACCTCAGCTGTGGCTCTGACTCTGACATGCAGAGCTCCTGGTTAGACCTTTTATGACCAGTGTCATCCGCTTTGCTCCCATCTGAAATAAAAGAGATAGGTAAGAATTATTGTCATACAAGAAGCATAACCAGCCTTCAACAACTTACATTAACTTCACCAATTAGATCTACAGCTTCATTTTTTTACCACAAAGATTAGTTTAGATAAGGCTCAATAAGTACAGATAAGGGCTATTCAGTTCATTTTACAATTAAATTATTTTACATGCTCAAATAAATGTAGGTAAGGGCCAATAGTTAAGATCAGAATATACAGGTCTGCAGGCAGAAAGCTTTAAAACAGACCTTATTATGTTGGATATTTCAAAAACTAATTAATAAAAAATCATGGACAAGTAAGGCAAGGGGCCCTAAGATCATAAACAACAGAAAATCTACATCAATTCAACAGGAACTGGCTATCTGTCCCAGATCTCAACCCCCACCCCCACCCCTCCCTACAAAAAATAAGGGCCCATTCACAAATGGCAACATTGCCAGCAAGGTGCACTTCATTTCAAAAGCACATGTGTTAAGGAAACTATTTAATCAACTGTGATTAACAAGAAATATCCTTAATATGGATAACTCATAGCTGTAAAGAAAGTTTCCAAAGGTGGTGATGAGTGAAAACAATGTGCATTGGAACTCTGGATAGACTTATGTTTATCTAATTCTGACTTCCTTTAACTGTGCATCTCACTATCAAATTTCCCAGCCACCAAGCTTCACTACTAAAACAATCCACCATGACACCCAGCTATCCTAATTGTTCAAAAACCTGAGTTACATCACAATTCCACCCAATCAATGCTTAAATTTATTAGTCAAGTTGTCTGGTGAGTACTGTTGAGTCAATTTCCATTGGATCTGGAGAATTTTAACAAAACCAGGCAGTCCAAATCTCCATTGTTATCATTCCGTGGCTACGATTTCCAACTTTTAATAATTCATTTACTTTTCATCTTTGTCTGAAAGTCTCTGGGCAACTTTAGAACAATTAAAATAGTAAACTTTTTTAATGCTTTAAATGCCTAAAAAGTTACTCAGCAGCCTTGCATGGTCGGGACATTTTGTACCCATTATTTTAGCATTTAAAGAATTTCCAACTTTTAACAATTCAATTAATTTTCATCTTTCTCTGAAAGTCTCTGTGCGTGTTAAGAATAATCAACCTAGTTCACTGTTTTGATGCTTTAAAAGCCCAAAATGTTACTCAGCAGCCTTGCATTGTCAGGACATTTTGTACTCATCATTTAGCATGTGAAATGCTACATGATTCCAGCAAAGCACAGCATCAGAGACAATAGAGACAATAACAAAATGAGGAATGATTTACAACTTTCTATAACCACCAGTGGCAGCTAAGAATATTTTCTTACAGTTCTTGTTAGCACTAATAATTATGCACGAAAATGGAGAGCTTAGTAATTCACAAAAATATTAAAAAAAAATAACAATAATAACTAAGGTTAATAGCTAACCTCAAATTAATTTGCAAGAGAAAAAGACTTGTAGAGCTTTGATAACGATTAAAGAATACTAGAAAATACAATTGCTAAAAATATTGACCACCTAAGGCGACCCAGCATAGTAATATAACTATTGTAGAACTTTACCTCTCAAACCAGATGGCATACCAGCAGTGGACTGTGACGGGCTCACTGGGTCGCTCACAGATAGTGCTGTAGTATTAGAGGAATCCCTATATTCACTTAAAGTGGATTCAGCAGATAATGTTTCGCTTGTAGTTCCTGCATCTGCAGAAAGTGATCGGCCTTTGCACCAATCGGTAACAAATAAAGGTCCATCTGAGGAGCCAAATGCAGATTTCAAAGCTGTTTTGACATCAGATTGCAGCAAACTTATCACTGATGATGCCTGAACCTGAAAGGTTTGGGATGCATAAACACAAAATGAACCAAGGAGAGCACAATTTTTAAAAAGTCATACTCCATTTCACTTTAACTATAATATTATTTTGATCCACTTCTAATAGCATGTCAACTCGTCCAATATCACCATGCAACTGATTCATTTACTTTTTAAGTTTAACTAATCTTAATATCCATGTATAATTACATTTAAACAAAGGGAACATATGTCATGCAGATTAGCAGATATGATCAATACTTACATCAGCCGACACAGGATCAAGCAGATCTACGCCAGCAATATCAAAAGAATGGCAAGAAGCAAAAATGCCACCACAACCCGCATGAGCCATATGTGGCCCGCAACAAAATCCCCGCCTACACTGCTCTTGTAAAGCAAGCCAGCTATATGGACCGTCCACAAATTCACCATCAAATGCAACATCAACAAACGAGACAGCTTGTTGGACAAGCAATGGCATGGCATCAAGAAAGTCTTGAAGTGGCTGTCTTTTCCGATATGAAATCATGGCTTCCTCATTAAATATTTGCTGAGATGAGGAAGGAAAAACCTCAGCAGTAGGTGTAATGGCAGGCTTTGCAGGTTTAGACGTTGCGACAGAGCGCCAAACCCCAATGGGTGCATTAAAAGGGCTATCAAGCATCCCTCCATCAAAATCACCAGCAATTCTAACTGGTATGGAATCCTTCTTCCTCAGTTCAGATTTACTAGAAAAATTGTCAGGTGTGCCACTCGGATCGCCAGGTAATTGTCCCAACCCCATGTTGCCGATGGATCTGTTGCCGGCAGTAGAGGCAGGATTACCAAAAGGCAGTAATGTATGTCTTATCCTGCACATAAAGGCCTGGAACATAAGGCACTCAAGTTCAACAGAAGGGACTGTTCGTTGAGATAGAAAGAATTGCTTGGCACTATTAGCAACTTCATTAGTCATATCCTGAACAGATTTGACAGTACTAGAAGAGTTGAACCCAGAAAACAACGATAATGATGCCCCTTCAGAAGAAGTTACAGTACTGTTCTTAATAGACATTGTTTCTGTTAGAGTTTGACCTCTCTCTATCTGAGTGTACAATTTTTGGAGATCAGAACCAATATCATATTTGCCAGGATGTATTCTGGAGTCAGCAGCCAGAGAAGGATTTTCTTCACGTCCATTAGTGCCAGGAGATGAAGGTGGTGTTGCCCCATAAACATAATTACTCCCACTTGAATTCAAACTCTCAGCTTTCTGAGATTTTGGTTGGTACGGACTTCTAAAAACAGTTGAGGAGAGCTCACTTGAAGGGGTCTCAACTGCTCCATATTCAGGGGCAAAAGTCAACAATGCTTCAGCTTTCAATACATGATCAATTTCACCATTTGAAGCTGCTGGTGCACAGCTCACAAGACCAGTTGAGTTACATTTTGTGGCTTCTTGAATATTACTAACACACTCTTCCATCCCTGTTGAAGGAGAGTGAAGGCTTTCAAACATTTGGAAACTTGCAGGTAAAAGCATTGGATCCGGAACATCCATTAGGGTACCAGAAGGACTGCCACCTCCATCTCCACAATCATGCCCAGAATACACAAGTGCCTGAGATTCTGCAGTTCCTGGGGGCTTCCCCAACAAAATAGGTGGAGATGAGTTTCATTACATATTGTCAACACGTTTAGTATCAAAAGTAAGAACGAACAGAACAACTAATAGAAAAGCATATTTCCTTTCTTTTTCTAATAAAAACAATTAATAAGGTCACATAAGAAGAATAAACAGAATTTGAGTGCAAATTTTTTAAACTGTATGTAAATTTATTTATTTTTTACTAAAGGTGCAGCCTTTTCAAAATAAATATATGGTGCATCTTTTGGGATGAAAACAATATATACACATTCAATCCATATCCTTCACATCTTCACCTGTTCTTATTTTATTACAACATATGGTTGTTCATGGTTTTCCAAGCAAACATTGGCCAGTAATAATTAAGAGAGAGAGAGAGAGAGAGAATATGTGGATATACTGAAAATACACATTGAATTTAATCTAACATGATCTCACACGGTAATACATATTATTAAATATTAACACAATTAAAAACATTCAGTTTAAGTTGAAGATGTTTGACCACCAAAAGGCAAATTTTGCAATGTATGAAAACAAGTTAAAGATGTGGCCCATGTTGACTTTTAAAAACAGCCTTCAATATAAGAAATGTAAACAGCCAAAAGCGTCACAGTTTTGAAGTCTATTTGTCTAATTTTATTGTCTTCTATCTAAACAAGATACACATTTACCGTATCATCTTTTATAACTCTCATATAACTAACACGGTATTCACTAAGCTGTGCTCATTATTTACAGCCAACAATAACAATCTTAATGCCTCTTAGAAGGCCAAAATTAGTATTATACGGAATTTGAACTCACTTAGAAGTTGGAACAATAATCCAAGCCTTTAGACCCAAACATCCATTAAAGATATACTCCATGTAATATTAAGAAGACTGTTGTTCCAAATCAACACCATCTGGCCCAAAATACTTAACCCATTTACCCATCTGCTTCTTTTGCAGTGACCAAAATACACATTAAAAAATAGCTTACATGATAATATTCTTCTTATATAATAGTGCAAATTATGGTAAAACCTGATGATATTTGACTTTGAAAAAAAGCATACAGGTAAAGTATTCTGGAAGGAAGGAGTTTCAAATATATCCAAACCAAGACACAGACCATTTAAGGAGCGGCACCCATTAGTGGTGAATGGTTATAGATATATAGACGGGAAGATCGTAAAACCTGCAATGTAAAAAAAAGTACCTCTCCAAATGGCAATGCATCATTTTCAAAAAAGTCGCCAAAATCACCAAACTCGGAGAGAAGGGCTTGTATATCCATGCCCCCACCTCTGTCATCATCATCCCAGTCCCACTCAGACCCAGCATGATCATTTGTGACTCCTGGGATGCCTGAATTGCTGTATTCATGTTTAGGAGCATTTCCCACAGTACCGGCTTGAATGTATGAATCATCTGCTCCTGTACGAGGACGTTTTGCACCCTGTTTTGATAGTTCACCTTCATCATTTGAATGAAAATAATACAAAGACAGTATACCTTGCTCACAACGCCTAACAAAATAACTCAACAAGGTACATTATGCCTTACACCGAATAAATCTGTCATTATATTGTTATTTACCTGCGTATCCACTAGAGCAAAGTGAACTCAGAAAATTATGAAAGGTACTATAAGTCTTAAATAAATGACATTTCAGAAAATTGTAAAAGGTACTATATCCACAAAAGTGTCATTAAATTGTTATCTACCTGAGTACATGCACTACAAGTCTTAGTAAACAGCTGAAAAGACGAGAGCAAACATGAAACTGGCTGTGTTAAGCATGACACTTAAAATAGCATATAATCCTCTTTTGCATTAAAAAAAAAAAAAAAAAAAAAAAAAATTAAAAAAAAAAAAGAGGGGGAGGGGGGGTGTGTGTGTGTTGGTGTTCACCCAACCACCAGACCACAATTCACAAAATACCATCATTTAATAATGAGTCAAAGTAAAAACAAGACAAAAACATCTAGTCTTCCAAAGGAGACCAACAAAACCGAGAAATAACCAAAAGTGCTAAATGCAAAAAACTGACTAAAGTAGCGCATCTGTTTGGCAAATCATAAGCAGAATGATTATGTCTCACCTGTTTAGGGCCATTAGTATCCATGGGATCAACGGAAGATAGGCCTGACTGTCTTCCAGTTAAGGAATCAGCATCACCTTCAAGGTCACCAGACGTTGCCTTGGCTCTACAGTCACTATCACTTGAGCTGCTGCTTATGCTACTGATACTACTATTATTGCTGTTGCTGCTACTGTGTAATCCATGCTGCAAGCTGATACCATCAGATTCAGACCATGAATCATCCACGTCGTCTGTTTCAGAACCGCAGCTGTAAGACAGAAAATTTGAGAGATGGCAATAAAAAGTTAGTTATATATATATATATATAGGAGCCACATTAGAACAAGGGGGGACAGCTGTCCCCCCAATTTCAAAAAAAAAAGTTTAAATAAATACAGTAAAAAGGTATAAATAAATCAAACACGCAATTATTATTAAAAAGATAAATATGGTTTGGTGGTTGAGTTGGGAATCAGTAATACCCTTAGTCTCAGGTTCGAATCCTAACATTAACGTTTTATAGCTTTCTTTTTTCCCTCCTACTTCTTGTTTTTGTATTACTGATTTACTGTAACGTTTTTTTTTAGGATGATTGTATTACTCTAACGTTTACCAGCTTGTTTTTATTTCTTGTGTGGATTTCATTATATATAAAAAGTATTATGAGTTTTCAAGCCCCTAACTACTCTAGTAATTTAACTTTTTTTTGACAACATAATTTTGTACTACTTTGTTGATAGTGAATACTAATGGGTTACTTCATACAATACATTAATGAATACATATCTCCATTTTTTCTCTCTTTAATAAAGTGTGCTTAAATCCTTTTTTTTTTTTTTTTTCTTGTTAAAAAAAAAAAAAAAAAAAAAAAAAAAAAAAACCTTTTTTTAACATTTTTCATCCATAGATTAACATTAATTAATTGTTTGTAACTAAATTTAAAATTTTATTTATATATACGAAGTACATTGTTATAATATGATTGATTAGAGAAAGTTGCATTTATTTTTTTCAAATGTAATACAAACTCCTTCATATCTATCAACGATTTGTTTAAAGGCAAAAGAATTATTTGACTTTATGATAAGATAATTGATTCATATTTATCGATTATTGGATTACATAACTTGGAATTGGGAGTTCACAAAAAAAAATTATTCATTTGTTGGATAATTTTCTTAATATACGATCGATGAAACTTTTTTACTCCTCATTTGCCATATAGGAATTATTATCTTATGCATTTTCAAATAAATACTAAACAATTTATATGTTCAATTTTTTCCTTGACATTATAACATTCGAAATTTGTCCCCCAGATTATAAATCCTGGTTCCGCCATATATATATATATACTACATTAGGCTGATTTCACCAATAGGTATGCAATTAACTTTGATTCTCTCTTCTCAAGAATACTCATTCTCTCTCCTCAAGTAAACTCCATTAAAGATCATATATAACGAGAGTCTACATCAATTACTCATAAATCTGACTACATTAGGTTAAAATAAATAACATTATTACCTTAAACCTTATGTTATGCATAACTTTTGACATATTCTAAGAATCTTGCGTTCAAGTTTTAAAGTTTAAATTTATTGTTCTATAAAAATGGTTGCATAAGTTCAAAAAAATGATTTTAAAGTTCTGAAAACTAAATAATATAGTTGAATTCTAGTTCAAAAATGACTCAGGAACAAAAATTAAAGATTTAATATGAAACAAACAATTAAATTGTTGAAATTCTCCTATTTCAAATAATTAAAAATTAAAAATTTCAACCATAAATCTATTTCGAGTATATGAATTAAGAAAAGAATCAAGTAAAAGAAAAGATGAAAAAGATTCAATAATAATAAAATAAAATAAAATAAAATCATCTCTATTATCATCACTTATCTTATCTGAATTTAATAAACTTATTTTACCTTATTAGAACTTAATTTAGTAGTAAATTAAACATAGGTAACCCTTATTAATTCTTATTAGATTTATCTGAACTTATTTTATTTTTCCATAAATATGTGAAAATAAGGTGAACAAAACAGGACATAAGTAAAGGGAGAGTAATGAGTAAAATATTGGTGTCCATATTACAAATGCCCAAAATACCCCTTGAATATAACTTGAAAAGAAAGTTAGGCAATTATAAAATTACAATAATTTGTAGTAACAAAATCCGAAGGATTTGACAATTGACAATTAATTGACTTACTTTGGAAAACACTAAAGACAATTAAAAATATTCAATATTACCAAAACTTGAAAACTAAAATGGATAATCCAATTTAAATATTTAATTATGTATATTGTATTTGATTCATATTTAAGTTGTATTACCCAAATAATATTCATATATAAGTTTTCCAAGAAATACAATGTATAAATATAATATATACATGATTAAAACAATATGATTATTTTTAAAATTATAGTTTATACAAAACTTTAAGCACGAATCACGTGTATGAACACTCAAGTGCATGCGTGTGCAAGCGCACGTGAGTGGGTAGGAGTGTGCATAAATAGACCTGGACCAGAAATCCGGTCCGGTCTCCAGTCTATGTAAATCATTGATTCTGGTCCGGTCGACCCGGTTCCAAGTTGTAATGTTGTATATATACGGAGTAATGGGGTACTAATGGGTTTCTGACTTTCTCACCTTTCCAAAGAACTTTAAAGTTACTTTATAACTTCTCTTTTCCAAATATGAAAACTACTTTTCTTTTTTTTCACTTCTTATATGGTCAAAAGTATATTTTTCCCCTTTCTATGGCCTCCTTCAATCAATCAATGGCTCACAAATTCCACATTCATCTTCCCCTCAAATCTCCACTTTCACAATGTAGATAATGAAATTAACCCACTTTCCTCTCTCTCACACAACCCCTTCTCCTCCATTTATAAGTTTAAAAAAAAAATTATCTTCTTCTATACATGTAAATATGTAATACACTACTACTTAGTATAAGAATATACTCTTTGCAAGATTTTAGCTACAATTCTGTATGTATTAAATTAATAATAGTGACATAAATAAGGTAACTTTTGATTTTAGCCATACTTGTATGTTTGATTAAATTAAATGTTGTTGTTTTTGGATTTAGGATCCACGAAATTGCTGAAACTTTTTATAAACCGGTCCAATCTGGTCAAATACCGGACCATACCGTATAAACTGGTCCGGACCAGAATTAATCCGGTCCGGTCTCTAATCTTAGATAATCATGAATTCCGGTTCTGGACTGGTGTACAGTCCTTGGTATATGTGAAAAACAATACAAAAATGCCAAACACCACACCAGCCAATAATATGGACATTAAGTAAAGATGTTTCTTAAACTAGTAACAGAGTTTTATAGAACAATTCCTGTGACGCCAGAAAAAGCACTTAAAGTTCAGATATAAAACTAACCTAAAATAAAACTGGAAAAAGAATATGGAAACACAGTGTTAGAACGTTAAGTTGGGACTAACCAATGCATCAAGAGAGTTGAACCAGCCAACGACAGCCCTGTCCAATTTGGTAGCCAAAATCTACAGAAATCAATGGAAAATGATTGGTGGAAGAATGTCACTATTAAGAAACACAGACACAAAACAGAGATGTTTGCCCAAGTGAAAGAATGTGATTATCACGAAACAAAAAAAGACAAAACATAGATGTTGGCCGGAAATTCCTCACTAAGTCAATAAAGTCACTATCATTCTGCCTAAGAAATCACAGAATCCTACTGGCCATTCAACAAACTCATCATATCCATCAAGTCAAAAGCAACAAACTACAGAAAACCTTTTTCTTTCTTCTCCATATTCTATTTCAGCATTCTAAGATTTTTGAAATAGAGAAACTGAGAAAGCAGGAACTTATTTGTGATCATCACTCATCCCAATAGGCACCAGGAAAATGAACAATAGGTCAGCACAGAATTGTAAAGTGATTACTGCACCTTTTCAAAAAAGATCTTGCATATGATGTTTGCAAAATTGGAACAAGAACCGCCTCAGATGGATATATGAAGGTCTTTTCAAAATTAGAAGCATCGCCAGTGGACACTTTCTGACTGCCTTTAGCAATAGAGGGGGATCCAGATGTTGGGCGATTGGAGCTGTTGATATTTGAATTAGGCAGATTCACCTTCTCACTTCCAGAAGAACTGCAACCAAGGGTAACTTCTAAGTAGTAATTCTGCCCCCCCAACTTGCCACCAGATGTGTGAGCAGCAGTATATGGTAAACCAACTAATCCAGTTGAAGTGTTTGATGCACCAGGCCTAACCACAAAGTGGTGACAAAGATACAGGGTCAAATTTAATAGGATTCAAACTATACATTACCAACATGAGCAAGAGCTGTGAGACCATGAAGAAAGCTAATAGAAAGCATCCCATGTAGTTTACCCGACAAACACCTGCTTCACAAGATCACTTGAACAGCACCCGGTAACCTTGCCACACATTCCATGAGGAGAGACTACAACTGCCATAACAAGATATTTTGACATCAGCACAAAATAAGAGGTTCAAAACCTAAAGAGCATATATCAGATTGAAGTAATGCCCCCATACATTGCATGATGATAACACGAGCACATTAAAAAAGGCACACAGCTGAAAAGTGAAAATGGATTGGAAGGACCGTACTGCATCAGCGTTAATACATAGCATACCCCTCGAATGGTCAAAACTTGTAGCTTTCAAAAGAATTGGTCTACAAATGACCTCCTTTGGATGGCTATTGAAAATTGACCTCAGTTTCTAAATACCTAATTGAGAAGGATGCTTACCATGGGAATTACTTCTTGATGCCACACAAACTGATGAGCTGTAAATTTACTCTCAAAAGATGAATCGAAGACAAGCTGCTAAGAATGTAACTAATAGCATATTGGTTTAGTTTAGACACATTACAGTACACAAGAAAGCCCTCTAAGCACATTGGGGGTAAATAAGTTAATGCGTGGAGAGACTCGGTAAAGAAGAGGTCATTGGAATCATGGGAGAGGAGACCTACCAAAGATCAGAGCTCACTAACGCAAGGAGAGGCTCTAAGTGGGTGTTGTTTCAGATTGGGCTTTTTGTGTAATATAGGATTGAGGAACCTTGAGCGCGAACACGCACACACACACCCTACTCCCCTCCCTGGTGCTGGCAGAACATTTGTGCTTTCTGCGTAATCACCAGCAACTAAAAGTAAGGAAATCTACTGAAAACCTAAACTAAAAGAGTCACGAAAAAATACCAGGTGAGCTGGGGGGCAATAAAGCCAATATCACAGTCGCACACACAAAAAGGGAAACATATTCTTCCTAAAATATTTTACATTTGAGGGAACCCCAGAAAAAAAAAGAAAAAGAAAAAATTGTATCAAGCATATTAGATGCAAGAATTAATCGCAAAATGTTACACCGTAGTGAGGCCGATTTATGTACAGGCTAGGCTAACAAAACAATAGAATTGCTCACCCCATCACAGTCAGCTTACAAAAAGTCAAGTCAGAGTGCCCATTGTTTAGCAGTGATGATATATTCAGGCTACTGAGTAGCACAAATGCTCTGTAAGAAACAGGTAAAAGAGAAGACTAGAATAACCCAAGGAGTTTACACTTTATACATTATGGTCACATAACTGGTATTTGTCACAGTTCAGTAACAGCAGCAATATGACATGAATTCAAGTAAAAACCACTATAAGGAAAAAAAAAAAAAAAAAAAAAAAGGCACAGAGAATTTATAAATCTAAGAATATCCGGTTAAAGCCATGATACAATAAGGTAGTATGTCAATTATAACCGATGCCAAAGGTATAGAGCAAAAGATTCACACTAGTAGTGGCATGACACATATGCACAATGAGAGAGAGAGAGAGAGAGAAGGCTATCAGGTATTTTTTTTTTAAAAAGGTAACTACCTGGAAGTCTCTGGCCAAGGCTACTAGAAGAGAGCTTCAACACTTTCTCCATATCACCACCAGAAAGTGTTCGTACATGCCTAGAGGAGTACATGACAACCACATACAGAACAAAAATTAGTTAAGATCAACCAGGAAAAACAAATCAAGAACCAGAAAAAATAGTAAGACATACTTTGCTGATAATATAGCATGCACAAAGATGGCATCTTCACTAGCAGCAAAGACAAATTCAATTGTTGGTTGGCCTTTCCTACAAGATCCAAAAAATCCAAAAATAAATTAGCAAATTGAATGATATTAAAAAGCATCACAATCTTCCCTTCTGCCCCTATTAACTTATTCCACATATCAACACTTATAATCCTTAATCTTCTTTTCTCAGTAAATCAAATTACACCCCCTCTTTGTAGAACCAACAGCTCAGAAATCAGAACTTTGACAAGAGTACTAATGCATAGTAAAAAAAGTATTATAACAAGTTGCATCTAACTTGTTTCCTTTAAACATGGATCACTTGATTTGCAAACTGCTCATTGTCAGTAAAGACTAAAGAAAGAGGAATTATCACTTCTCAAAGCATATAACTCGTAAAAAAGTCGCAACAAACCTAAAGAGTTCTTCACTTTGTGAAAAGGGTCGATATCTTGAAAACACATCACCATATCTCACATATGAGAGCCCAATAAGTGCTCTGGAACAAAAGTTGAAAAGCAAAGGATAAGCAGAAAACATTTAAGAACCAAAAGCATGTCCCTGCTATAAGACAAAAGGTTTTAAAAAAACAAAAAAAAAAAAAAAAAAAAAAAAAAAAAAAAAAAAAAAGAGTATAAAGGTGAGCAAGTAAACCTCTCTAAACGACTTTTTAGAGCCTGAGACAAAGCAGTTGCAACCTCCTCAGAATCACCCGGAGAAATCCAGAGTCCAGAAGCAACAACTTCAACAAGACATGTCAAGTCAGACAGGCATAATAAAATATCATAAACATCAAAGCAGAAAATAGATTACATAAAATAATTAATAGATGGAGATGAAAGAAACAAATGAAGAGCATCATTACAATTCAAAAGAGAAAGGACAAGGCAATAGATATCCTCCTCAACCAACAGGAAGATTGGAAATCAAATTAATGGCGCTAGTAATAAAGACGGGGAGAAGTAGGAAAAGGAATGAGTCTGCAAGTACCTCTTAATTTACATACAGCAGGTTGAGCAGTTTCAGAAACGGAGGAATGGCGGCCAGGAAGAAAAAGCCAGAGCTTAATTTTTTCATCTGAAAATAGAAGTAAGATGAAGAAAGAGGAGAAAGGAAGTGAAGAAAAGAGATGTAAGGGAAGCGGGGTAATTACCGGGGTTGTGCGTGCCCTGAGAAGGATCCCAAGGGCCCACAAAGGAGTTAGTCCAAGTGCTGAGAAATCCATCCTTCTGCAGCTGAACATGTGATGAGATAAGTTCAAGTGTAGCAGCATCCCTCTGTTCAGTCCTTGAGCTGCCAAAACCATCATCATTAAGTTGTTTGTCTAGTGGATTACAACATTAACAAACAATAGACAATTTGTATCTCTGATAATACCTTTTATCAGGTAAACAGGTAACATCTGATTCATTTGGCAGAAACTGGAACCAAGATAGCTGATGAAGGCCTCCCTTTAAAAGCGTAAACAGCAACACAGCCAGATCAAATCGAAATGAACTAGGCATTTATGTAATGTTAAAAGAAGAAACAGAAATTAAAATACATACGATTCTGAAAATGTTGGTCCACATTACTTCTGAGCAGGCCCGTCCCTGAGCCAGGGCAGGAGGGGCGGCCGCCCTAGTTCAATCCTAACATTAAAGGGTTCTGCAATACATTAGCAACCAAATTTCATTCAATTATCACATAAGTTTCCAAAAATCACATATTTTTAGAAAGAAAAAGCATATTTGATTCAGTTAATCAATTCGGCTCATAATTCTCTTTTCTAACTGTTTATGATCTTCATAATCTTAGTAATTAGAACCAATAGTTCAGATTTTCGAACCCTAAACTTACTACACTGACAATTAAATTAAATCAAAGATGAACCCTAGATTGTGAAATTGATATGATGATTACAAAAAGAAACAACTTACCTCAGAAGCTGCTTCAATGGGGGATACAGGTATTAGAAGGCACCTCAATGGAGAACGTCAAGTGCGCTTCAATGGAGAACGAACTGAGAAAGACAGGCGGAGGAAGTAGGGCTGCGTTCGTCCGGTTATTTTTTCTTTTTTTTTTCCCTTATTGAGTTATTGACAGTAAGAGCAATTCAATGGAAGCTTGACCAGCCCGATCCGTCCAGTTAATAAATGGTGCGGGTCTTTATAAAGTCGTCCAATTATGGATTTTTAATGGGACGTAACAAATCCTATAGGGGTTTGAAATTAGAAATTATGCTCTTATTAAAACATGGAGGGAATAGAGGTGATCAAAAATTCAGGTCGGGCTAACTGGCTGAGCCTTAACATTAAATTTCATGTCCAAATCTGCGAAAAGTGGCGGACTTTTTTTAGGCCGGGTTCAAGTTTTTAACTAAAATAAAATAAAAAATAAAAAGTATTTTTTGGCTTGTCCAAATCCATCTTTTTTCAAAGTCGGGTCAGTTTGACCCATAGTTGATAACCTCTACTCTATTACAAATTATCAACTTTTCTCTGCCCTTTCATTTACACACAAATACCATTTTCACATACCTAAGTTTTTGGCAGAAACTGACACAATTTGAACCTGCCCTGAAATTAGTGGGTTTGGGTTGAGTTTTCTAACCCGATTTATCAAATGGGTTAACACAAACCCGACCCGAAAGATTAAATGAGTTGGTTAAGGTTGAGAATTTCAACCAAAAAAATGGCATGTGTAACCCGAAATATTAAATAGCTAAAATTGTCGAGAATAATCCCAACTTTGCTCCGTCCACCCAAAATAATCTCAACTTTCGATTATTTTTTAATAATCCCAACTTTATACTTCATCCGCCCAAAACAATCCCAAGTGACTGGTGACCTGTCAAACAGGTAATTTATATATATATATATATATATATATATATATATATAAAATGAATTAATATTTTTTTATATATATAAAATGAATTAATATTAATATTATTATTTGTTATTAACTATTTAATTTAAAATAAAAAAAACCACCACATCCATGCAACACTGCTCCAGGCTCTCCCCTCCGGCCGACGCCACCCCTTCCCCTCCCCTTGCCGACGCCGGACCCAGCTCATTAATCTTCTGTTGCTTAAACTTGCTACTATCATTGGAAATTAACAGAAAGCAACTGTCTCCATTTTTACCTCCTTTGTGCTTAACATCAGCACATTCAACCCACAATCGACGCCCTGACCTTAAAACCTTAACCAATTCACCGTCTTTCGCCTTCGGAACAAACACCCTCGTCGAAATGCTGCGTCTCTAATGACGGCATCGGTGCCAGATTTCAAACCTCGTTCTTTGCGAGCTAACTCACTCAATTACACGAGCCGATCATCCCACCCTTTGATTCAGCACATGGGTCATGTAACAACTAACAACCCAATTAAATTCACTTCAATTAACACCAAAATTAGTGACGGAAATTTCCCAAATCGATCATCTAGATTCTAGATCATAACACTCACAATAAATTATGGAAAACTAAAAAAAAAAAAAACTTAAAAAACCCAGAAATTAGTGAACGAAGGGTTTCAAGGGGAAGGGGGAGGGTGGTCAGGGTGGCGCCGGGGGAGGGGGAGGGTGTCTGGGCGGCGGGCGGCGCCTGGGAAGTAGGGGGTTGGGCTGAGAGTGTGTGGCAGTGGGAGTGGCCGGTGTTTTTTTTTTTTTCTTTAACCTTTTTTTTTTGATTTTTAAATTAATTAATTTAATTAATTAAACCAACTGTAGAATGACACATGTCCAGTAACTTGTAATACCAAGTTGGATGACCTGTTGGGATTGTTTTGGGTGGATGAAGTATACAGTTGGGATTAATTTGGGTAGACGGAGCAAAGTTGAGATTATTCTTGGCAGATTTTCCTATTAAATAAGGTCGGATTAAATCAAACTTAATCTAATTACTCGAACTAAAGGCAACTTAATTAATATTCTTTTGACCCATATACACTCATCCAATTACCCTTATATAAATAATCTCATCCCAACTACCCTTGGAAAATTACGACCAATACTTTATTTGGGTGGTGTAGACCTCTACCCCGCATAATGTATATATCTGACGTAAGATTTGTTTTTTTCTGACCAAAAAATAGATATAAGTACTTAATAGCTTTGAACTTGTTAGTATTAGTACATGTACTCATTTTATTTCCAAACAAGTGAATGTCCCGGACAATGCCTCAAATTGTTATTTTTTGTAATTTATTGACTAGTGAGGAAAATTTAACATCACGAATCTCATGATATGATAATTAACTATATCCTCTCAACTTTTCTAAATGTTGCAAACTCGTGGGTTGAAGAAAGCAAATCTTTGGGGGCTAGGGGAAAAACCAACAGAGTAATTTTGTCAACTGATAACAATAGAGAGAGTAGAATGGCTTACAAGTTACAACTAAGGAGCTCTAAGTATTGTGATTGCTTCAATAGCACAGTATAACACTAATAATTACAAACACCCCACTTAAAAAAAAAAAAAAAAAAGGAAAGAGTAACTGAGAAATGTGATAAACTTTACAAGATCACTTCAATGATAATTTCTCAGCCTCCGAGAAGTATAGATTCAACCTTCAGTTCAAGAATATTGGAAGAGTAATTAACAACAAATAAAATGCACACTATCTGCCTCTATGAAGGAGTCCTTCAGCACATAGGGGAACATCAACAGAGGAAAAAGGTCTGTCAGACAATTTAAGACTCAATAGATGACGACGGCCTTGCAGAAGATGATTCGCCCAAGGAAACAGAAGCTAAAGAAGAGGCCCAAACACGGGCACTTCTGGCCCCTTCCTGAAAATTTCTAATCTTACATTGCTTCAGCTTACTCCATACTCTCTTTACATCCATTACATGAGCAACACGGGCCAACAATTGGTTTGACTCTCCCAAAACTCCCAAATTTAATTGGCACATGCACAACATCCATAATGCTGTGACACAAGACCAGATTTCTGGACAAATACAGAGGAACCCCCGCAGCACCAGGAATAGAATTGCGAAAACCAGATAGGGTTCTTTCACTATGATTTCTCTCCATGATGACCAATACCATGGTTCAGGTACTATTTCACCATTCATTATGTTCGCGACCTCATTATGGGTGTGGTACTCTGCAGGGCCAAATCCTGATACATAGGAAAAGCAGTTAAGACACGAAATGAAAGCAAAGAAAAAGATTGCACAAATTGAAGAAAAATGGACCCAAAGGAAAATGTGGGCAGGGAAGATAAGACAGCAAGACACAGCCAGAAATTTCAAGAATAATTATACCTACAGGATGATCCTAAAACTACTACCGCAGCAACAATACAATACATACATTCAGCAAGACCCTGAAACTATTAAACACCAGACACTTAACAGTTCTTTATACAAACGGAGCATTATACAGATCATAGGAACCAGAAACAATATACAACTTTCTTTTGCTGTAAGCCAGTACCAGTAATTCTCTTGTAAAAGTGTGCCAGGGAATGAAGCTCTTTGGGGCCATAATAGCGAATCTGTTCAGCTTGGTTCACAATGAAGAGTGCAGGTAAACTGTGGATCCCAAATCTTGATAACAAACTGCAAATTCAGACATTCAGCAAATAAGGAAATTTTGCATGCACACAGGCTAAATTAAATTATATGGTAAAGAAATAGCTCTTCTTTCTCGAGCTGTTCAGCTTAAAGATTGGCCTGACTCGATAGGAGACCACTGATATTCATGACAGCAATATTAACTACCCTACACTGAAGGAAAAGAATCAGCCATGTGAAGCAAGGTCTTTTTTAGAGGCAGGATCAACAGATAATAATATTAAGAGGCCAATAATTATATCGTGCATCAACTCCATAAAGCTAGTAATAAAACATTATAGCACCGCACGGCATTCTCTCACCTCGGCATGACCATTGATAATTCAACTGCTATATGGCCAACTCCTGGGAACATGGAACTCAGAATATCAAATTTAGAGCTCATGCTATTTGAAAATGGAGACCTAGAGTCATAGAAGAGAACAGCAGTATATACATCCTTTGGTGTAGATCTCAGAATTTGTTCGAGGTTTTCTCCATCCACCTGCAAGAAAGGGGGGAGGGGTGGATTCAGGTAAACTCAAGAACTACCTTCTGAAACCAATAAGTCAAACAGAATTGATAAGAATTGCAATGTACAAAACGATAAATCATAAATGTATGATGTTAAAACAAAAGAGTAAAACACATTACAGTTCCTGAAATTGAAATCCGATGAAAAGGAAAGTTAATATTTTTCCAGATAGCAAGGGTTTTTTTAGTTTTTATGCCGAGAAATTCTGACAGGCAAGGGTCATCGAATGTCTTGAAGCTGCTACAACAAGAAAAGCTTCAAGGGTGTACCAATATTTTAAGGTCTAACTAAACTCCAATATAATGTTTGAGCAATAAAATTTTCACGCGCCAAAGCTAGTGGTATGCAGAATTAATGGAGTTGGACTACGATTGGATGCACTAGGATACAATAACGACAATGTAGGCGATGAGGTTTTAACTCAAAGTTATTGAACACTATCGGCCCATCTGGTTCACCCCAAATTATCCCTTTTCCTTCACAGATTTCCATAATTTACCATTTAGAGTGGTATTGGACGGTAGTGGACATTTATGATGGAAAACACAAGTTTGTGTATAAGATTGCATTACCATAGATATTGAGGTGTTGTTTGGTTGACATGGGAAATGAGTTCCCATAGGAAATTATACTTCATGGGAAGTAATTTCCCTTGTCCATTTCCTAGGAATTACCTTAAGTTTATTTGTTTGATAATGTAAGAACTTTGATTTCCTAGGAATTTATTTCCTATATTTTATTAGTTAATTTGATAATTTTTTATTTAAGGTAACAAATTTGGAGAGAGAAAGAAAGAGATTAAATTATTGGTGATAATAATACAAGTAGGCCCCACAATAATCATGGGAATTGAAATTTCCCTTGGAATTTTCATTTCCCCCACTTTGATAAATTTGTGTCAACCAAACAACACATGTACTATTCATTTCCTAGGAAATAGAATTTCCCATGCTTTTTACCTCCAACCAAACAACACCTGAGATGTCATTTCGCTTGCAAACGAGCTGTAAAAATAAGTGAGATGCAATGATAGAAAGAGATCCTCTTTCTAACTATTTATTACGTGGTTAAGTTTGATATTCATTATAATTCAGAAAATCGTACTCTGTATCCTTTAAATGAGGCTCAGTTTAAAAATTTCCCTAATAGATTCTTATATTTTAACAATTTCAGTCACCCATAATAATACTATCAATCTATTACGGTACATAACTACATACTACGGCCTGGGGCATTGAACGGGTCACTAACTAATTCGCCTCTTTAGAAGCTGATTAATTGTGAAGATGTAAAACACAGGCTGAGCAAGAATAATATGGGCGTGTTTTATGAATTCGGTGTTAATTACTGTAACTGTAATAGAGTAATCAGAGTAATCATCCACAAAATCAATACTAACATCAGGAACAACAAAATAGAGATTAGTCGATACGAATCATTTTGGAGAAATTGATGAAAAAACAAGTTATACAGAAATCAAAAAAACAAAAAATTAAAGAAATTCCATGTTAATTGATGATCACCTCTCCCTCCCTTAAAATGGAATGGGAAATTAATAAATTAATTAATTGAAAATGATGAATAATCCGAAAAAGAATCGAAAACCTAAAATGAAGAAAAAGAAAGAAAGAAAGAAAAACCTGGATAGGAGGGTTGAACAATGGGATCTGGCGAGGACATTGACGGTGAAGAAGATGGAGGAAGTTATGAGTATTTGGTGAAGAGTTACATGTCAAAGGATGACAGAACGTCAAGGAAGGCGTCACCAAACACAGAAGCAGCAGCAGCATCGTCGTCGTCAATGGTATCTGGAGCTCCATATCAAATTTCAAATAATCAACACAATCGGCCTTCCAATATTCAAACACTGGTAATTTCAATATCAAAACTCAATTCTTTCAAACTAAAGCAGGCCCTTTGGGTCTTCACTTTTTCTCTCCTTCCCCTCCTTCGTTCTTTCTTTCTTTCTGTCTCTCCCAAATCCCAATTATACATACAAATTACAATTTAGGAACTAAGGACAGAGTCGCGTACCTTAATTATTGCTAAATCTAGGGGTTTTAACTTTTAACGTTTTTCACCCGCATTCTTGGAATTAATTTTTTCATTACATACATCCACTTACATGTAATTTTTATACGGAGTACAATAGATATAATTTTAGTAATTTTTTTAATAGTAGTATTAAACTACATACGCACATATTTAAAGCATGCAACATTCTCGTAAAAAAAAAATTCACAACAATAAAACACACATATTATTACACATATCATTATATGATAAATGGATCACATTTGATTTGGGTGTATACACATCAAACCCGTCATTTAATCTATCAGATGACCCTCCCATCCACCCGTATAGTAATATGTATTGATTTTGTTAAAAACTGATGATAATAAAACTCTCAAATCGACTTAAGGTTAGGTTTTAGAGTATGACTGCTTCATTTTTAGTTTGATTTTTTGTTTCATTTTTCAAACTAATGAAGGTTAAATGCCATACTTCTTTAGCGTGTAATTATAATTAAGATATGAGCTAGTTAGGATCTAATATTTTCCACCTGCAATGTGTGCTACGCACAAAATTTTAATAAAAATTAGCGACGTGTGTGCCATGGACTAAGCAAAGGGTATGACAAGTAAAAGGTATGAAATTTGAGGGTCAAAGCAAGGCAATGCAATGCCAAGCAAGTTAGGGCAACAAGGCTAACTCAAGACAATAAGGGCTAAGTGAGACATCGTATGACATGATAATCAAGGGTGGGTCAAAGCACGAATAAAATGGTTTCAAACACCAACTACGCCTCTCGAGGCCCTTAGGAACCTTTGAATGTACCTCGACGCATAATCTTATCAAGTGTAAAAATATTCATTATCGACCAAGTTGAAAACAAGCCTAAAATACACGAATTTATTCAATGTCGAAGATTTTTTGGACCCAATATCGAAAACTTACGGAATGGTATGTGCGTATGTAGGAGAGCAAAGTAGCTGATATGTCACACTCAAAACTCGTTCGTTAAGTTGATAAAAAGATTGAACAAAAATCACAAGTTTGTTAACTAATTGAGCAAAACTCGAACAACATTATATTTTGAGTGAATAATGTTGATAAACAAGATCGTTTACAACATTGTTCATGTTTGATTATGAGTCAATCAAAGTTAATTGAAAGCTCGAAAAACTGTATTACTTGTATAAAAAATTAATTTGGTATCTTTTTTTTTTTTTTTTTTTTTTTTTTTTTTAAGGGAAACAATTAATTTGGTGTCTTTGTAGTATTTGAACTGAAGAAAGAAAGAGTAAAAAAAAAAAAAGAAAAAGAAAAAGAAAGAAAGAGTCGGAAAGGGGAAGGAGAAGGGGTGAGACAGAAAGGGAACAGGCGGAGTGAAAATGCAGACAGTGAAAACCCTGGTACGCCATTGGCGATTGAGTCATAGTTACAGTGCCAAAATGAATAAAAAAGCATCAGTGTTGGTGGAACGAACCCTAGTGACGACGGCACGATTCGGCAATTCATCATCATCATCATCGACATGGATGGGGTTGTGCAAATCGCCGTGGTCTGTGTATCAGCGTCGAGGTGTGAAAGTGGCCGGGTCCGAGGTAGTTAGCTTTCTTTTTTGTAGATAGTTAGCTTTCGATGTTTATTACCAAGTATTAATCATTTATCAACAACTTGAATGTTTGCAGGTGAGAACGGGGAACATTGTCCAAAGAAAAGGTACTTTCTCCTCCAGTTATTACTTGCTGCTTCCTCAACCATTCCAATCTAATTCCTTGTTCCTTGCCTTTCTCTATTATTAGGCCGCATTTACCAGGTACTCTCTTCCTTTTCTGTTATTTTTTGATTTGATTCTCCATATTATCATTCTTATTATGGAGTAGGAGTATCATTCATCTTCTTCTTCAGGTTATTAAAGCACAACACACTCAGCATGGTAGAGGAGGGGCCTCCATTCAGGTTCATTTTCATTCACTTTTATTATTGTTGTTTATCAAGGATGCTTCCATTCATGGAATTCTCTATCTATCAGGTTGAGCTTCGCGATGTCGATACTGGTAACAAAGTTACTGAAAGATTTCGTACCGATGAATCCCTTGAAAGTACGCATCTCCTCTATCTGTATTCTACTACACTCACTCACTCACTAATCGCATTCCCATTTCTGCAGGGGTATATGTTGAAGAGAAGACTTTCCAATATTTGTACTCTGAGGGAGATATGGTAGTCTTGACAGAGTCAGTGTGCCTAACATTTTATCTGCCCTTTTTATCCAACTACTTATAAACTGCTGAATGTTCTAACCTTGCTGGAAGTGTATTTGCATCAGCCCCGAAACATTTGAACAGCTGGAAGTGCCAAAAGAATTGTTTGGAAAAAATGCTGTCTACCTCAAAGGTGTTTTTTTTATCTTAAATCCTGATCTGCTATAGAATCTAACAGTGCTATGTTCCTCATATCATCTCTTTTATCTTCACCATTCTTTTCTCTTTGCTGGTTGAGTTTCTTCATAGCCTTTGTTATGGTTATTCATTTTAAATTAGTAAATTATTAGCTAACTAAGTTTTTGAAGGATGATGAGGGTTGATGATTTGTGTGCATATGCTAAAATAGTCTTTCCATGGCATCTATTTTAGTGAAGTTGAGAAGATATACTTTCAGATCCCACTAAAAGTTCTTGAAACCATTCTAGGGGCACAATATCTATGATTTTAAGTCAGGCTCTTAAGATTTAGCCCATAGAATTGCTACAGAGCAGAGGATGACAGGGGCATGTGTGAACAAAAAGAAGGAAAACCTAGATCATTATTGTATTGTCAAGAGGATTAAAATTGTATGGTCTGTTATACATTTTAGAAATCACCAAACTTTTGCTATATGATTTCAATCTTTGGAAAAAAAATTGTTATGGATGGGCAGAGGGAGAATATATAGTGACCTCGGGAAAGTTGTAAGCATGAGTAGTAGGCATCTGATATTAGCTACAACTGACCTCGTAGGAATAATGTTGAGGCAGGCAGACATTCATTACTTCCCTTTAAGGCCGCTAATTTCCTTTGCAAAATTTCTCAAGTCAACTGTAAAAGAACATCACTCATTATTCTACGATCATTATCCATAGATCCATGATATGTTCATTTGATGATGCAGAGGATATGACAGTTAGAGTGCAGTATTATGACGGGAGACCGATGTCTACAACAGTACCTTATCGTGTTACATGCACTGTTGTTGAAGCACAAGCTCCTATGAAGGGCCTCTCCGTGAATCCTCAGTATGCTTCTACTGATCTTGACTTATCTATATAAAGTTTTCCCCAACAAGTTTTATGCTCAATTTTTGCTTTGTGTCTTTTGTCTTACATCAAAAGTTAAGTTTCATCATTCATGTTTATCTGTTTAGGTTATTTGCAAAGAGAGAATCAAGTTGAATTTCTTGCTTGTTTATTATTTTATTTTATTTTATTATTATTACTAATTAAGAGTTTTACTTCAAAAAAAAGGTATCAGAGTAATACAACTTTATACCAAACACCAAAACACTATAAGCAAATTAACTACTGGTCAAACACCGTTAAGTATCAGATTTCTATTTAATGTTTATTTTGTTTTGTTCTTTGCTTTTCTCCTTGAGCTATTTTAGGTTGACTTTCAAATTCTAGATTAATGAGGTTGATGCAGTTTTCATCTTGCCATTAGATGATTCCTTACAAACAATTAATAAAGGTGCTTTGATCTAAAAATTATGAAATTCTGCATATAATGATGAGTAGCAACTGTGTTGAAATTGTTGCTGCATGTTTGTGTTCCTAGTATCTCATTCAATAAGTGTATTATTTATGGCTCACTAATGTTATTTCAGTGAAAGGATAGAGGGCAGAAGTCGTGGTACTGTCAGTTTTATTCTTACACTAGTTCATTTTGTACTGTGGTACTTATTTGTGAACATGCACCTACTGTAGAGTATCTTTAGTATAACCTATTTTCAGATTGATTTTTGAAATCTACTACGGTAGTAAAAAAAAGTGCTATGATTTTTTATATGTTGCCTTCAAAAAGCTTTAATCTGCACTCTTTTCTCACTCTTTTGTAGACTTCATCATTTCTTTCTTGGCTTGCTCTTTTGCAGGTACAAAAAGGTTTTACTGGATAATGGCCTAACTGTTCTTGTAAGTAAATATATATTGTTTTTATTTTTTGATTGATAGGCTTATACTGTAGAGTAAGTGACTTTTTTGTGGCAGCTTCAAATCATAGCAGATTCAAATCAACATAACATATGAGAACTTTCAAGTTCTAAATACCTTGTCACATAACATTATTTGTACCACTAAAAGATTAAGTGTGGGTATAAGGGTAATTAGATTAAACTGTACTTCCTTGGCTCTTATGGTTAAGAGCTTAGGCTGCATATTTTGTTTCCCCAGTTTCTACCAGCTGTTGAAATGGGGACAATATATTGGAATCATTAATTCATTATGGAGTATGACCTATGCTGAAGTGGCCCCTAGCCCATTCCTAATTTTCTGTTCCTGACTCACTGATCCAAGGGAGTGCACAATTGCTTTAATTACATTAGTTTTTCCCTGATGTTAGGATACGTTAATATGATACCCCAGCCTTGTGGTTTTGGGTAGCTTTCCCGCTCCCTTGTTGACATTTGTCAATATTATGTCCTATTGTCCTGTGTAGACTAGGTCACTTATTTTATCGACCTCTGGATTCTTTTATAGATTATGACATCGACCTCTTGCATTTAATGTCATAGGTGAGAAAAAATTTATAATTAGGGTCATTTTGTTAACTAAATAAAAACAACGATTACCCTTTCAGTGTAGCAGTTGTTTAGGGTTACCATTGAGAATTTCCCATTTTATTTTTATTTCCAATTCTAATATCTTGATGACGTTTAGATTTTGTGAATTTGAATTACAATTTAATTCAAATGTGAAGCACTGAGGCATATGAATTTCAAATAATTGTTTCCAAAAAAAATAAAAGGCGCTGTTAAATTTAATGCATCAAACTTTAGCCTTCTCTCATTTTGTTACCAAAAACTACAACCTGGTTAAGAATTAGCATCAATTAATGTAGGACGAACTTTCGTTGTTAAGAATTAATGAACTTTTTTTTGGCACTGTGAGAGTAAGGCTATGCCCCTGTGTCATGCCAACGATAACATCTATACTGGGTACTATTTCACATAATATAAATCATGTTTGAGCCTTTGGGTTATGATTTTGGTTCTTCTCCTTTCTAATTGGGGATAATATGCTGTCTTGCTGATTATAATTAATGATGATTGTTCATCTATTGGCACGAATGTTGCTAGAATGCCTAGGATATTAAATCAATTTGGTCAATGACATACTATTTGTGTTATCTGTGAGCTTCTCCATTGGTCTAATGGACTTTAATCCTACTAGAATTAAGCAATAGAGGTTATTTCCAAATGGGTTCAAAGATGCTTGCTAGATATGACTCTTGCTTAAATTATGATATGATTTATAATTGATTTTTACATTAATTTGCTAAAGTTGCTAAGTCAATATATAATGTTTTTTCCTGTCTAAGTCCAATTCTCTTGCATCTCAGCTTATATTCTGCCTTTTCTATTGTCTTGTTTATTTCTTTGCTATTTTTATAAGACAGGGTTGCATTTGATTCACATTTTTACCTTTTCTCTTTAAATCCAGGCTCCTCCATTCATTGTGACTGGCGATGCAATCGTCGTGAATACAGCTGATGATTCTTATATTACAAGGTGACATCGTTACAGTTGCCCAAATTTTGGCACGAATGTTCCTTTGAATTTTTCCATTTCTCTGTGTTATTGGCAGTTTGCTTGGCATATTTTCTATAGAGATGGTATTTTTAGGCGTTAGATTATTCTTGTTACTTTCCCTCTGCCCTAGAAGAATATTTCTCATTGACTAACCTCACGCATCAAAAGAGAATGTATAACATGCAGCAAATATTGACTTGACAAAGACAATCTTGTATCCTATTAAAAAACTTAAGGATTTTAAACTCTATTAATGGCATTGTAGGTACATGGCAGAGAAATTGTACATTAAATTGATACTTGTATGTTGAAACATTAGTTGTTGTATGAGGGTTTCTCAAAATAGAAAGAAGGAATATATACATAGGGACTAGGGAGTATTTTGTAATTATCCCATATTCCCATCTTGTAGTTGTCTTGCTTTTAGGGATTGCTATTTAAAATCTAAGCATTATAGCTCCAAGATTCCTTGTGTACTTGATATCTTGGTTACCAATGATACTGCTCATATAAGGTTCAATCAAACAACTGTATTCTTAATAGTGGTAGGCATGAAATTTGCAGGAAGTTGTACTGTGGGAAGGTAGCAAACTCATTTATTTGTTTGACAAAATTACTAGGACTTATGGGATGTAAAACCTCTTACGACCAAAGTTACCAAACAATTTTAGGCCTTCCCGAGATATGCGATTTGCTAGATAGTTCAACTTTCCACATCTGTTATTGGAACCTGTTTAACCTGATATGAGAAGAAAATGTCTTTATAATTGCTTGCTGTGGGACTTGCAGTAGAGAATATATATTTGGGAGAAGGAATGCAGATCATCCATAAAGCTTTCAACTGATTTTCAGCTGTTATGGAATTAGTGGCATGGGGTTGTGCCTCCATGTATTAGGAGGCAATACTTGATTGATGGGCTTTGAGTTCATGTGTGCACAACCAGTTGATTCATATGTGAACCACTGACTGGTTAATTTGAACACTTTTAAAGTCATTTTTGGTGTAGAAAGAACCATATAGGCTAGTATGTACTATGTAGACAAGATTTGGTAGCACCCACCAAGGCTTTAACCAATACAGCTAATTGGCATCCACAACAATTTTGAATTTGAAGTTAAAATTGTTTGTTTAGTCATTTTCGCGATCTAACTGGCACTTATATGACAACAGTTAATGGTTAAAGAGGCAAGTGTGCTACTGCTTACCTCTGATCTGAGGTGTGTGGAATGTGGATGAGTGGATCTCTTGTTCTTGAGTCTGGAGCTTAAATTTTCTACTTCGAATACCAAGATTTAATTTGTTTAAGAAAAAAAGAATTGTAAAAAATCATGATTCAGAGTTCTACATAGACGAGCTTTCAAATTGGATGTCAAGTTGATGATATGGAAGGTTTTTGTATGTACACATTTTTGAGGATTTAATGTTGTGTATGGCGCTAATTGTTGCATATTCTTTGCAGGGCAAAGTAGGAATGTGTACATTCTGAAATTCAGCATACAACATCTTACTATGAAGATATTCGTCGTGAAGATTTTAAGATGTTCTATTGTGACAAAATGTTACTCCGTAACATGATATAGATGAGCTTGAATAATCTGCGTATCTACAGTGGAATTTTTTTGCTTTTCCATGTAAATTGTCTTTTTTTTTTTCCTTCTGCTTATTGGTTGAAGGATTTTGCTGTTATATTAGCATTAATATTGGCTTCTTGTTTCCGAGTGATTTGTTTGATAACTGTACGGATTTGTTTATTAACTTGGGCGATTTAGAATAATCAATCCAATTTCAGAATATTTCTAGGCACCTTGTATATGAACATGTTGCCCATTTAAATTCTGTAAATACACATGCATGGTGTTCACATTGTTACAGATAATATTCAACGTTTCAAATGACACATATTGCACTTTAGCAGTAGTATAGAGTTATTACAGGGAGAAGTGCTATGTTGACCAACATATAATTGTGCATTGTTGACGAATGAACATCAGAATAAGGGGTCAGAATGTGAAAAATGAAAGGTCATGACTCAATCCAAAGCAGCACAGAGCATGGTGATTCTATACTTTATAAGTTAAGCAAAAGACTAAACTGTGAGTTGCAGAAAGATCCATGCTGCAGGTATCCTATTATTTATCATACGAAGTACTCAGTACAAGTACTATTTATTTTCCTTCAGAATACTTGGCAAGTCTCATCTTTGAAACTCCGAGGAGCAGAAATGTTGAGACAGCAAAATTGCTGGAACTGTCGCTTCAATCATGTCAATCTTAAATGCATAGGTACTACAATCCCACAGATGTCTCAAACTTCTGGATTTGATGGAGGAAAATCAAGGTCAACTGCATAAAGTTGCACAGCAACTATCAATTAACCACAGCAAAACAACATGACTAGTGGCGTAAATTATACTACATACAAATAAGCAAACTGAAATAGCAGGGAGCAAATCAGAAGCAGTTAGCTAACTTAGCTTAGAATAACAAATCAAACGCCTGCACTGCAATGCGATGAAGATGAAGGAAAGGGATTTGTGCCGAAAGAGGGCACTCAGCCCTGGGGGAGATGAGAAGAAGTTAGTAACTCACCATAGCGTGGGGTGCAATTCTAACACAATAAACAGGGAACCCGGTATAGAATTTGAGTGGCCCCCCAGATTTCAAGGTCTTCATGGCACAATCTAATGAACTTGTATAAGGGTACTTGCCCTCTGCATCTGGTTGCATTTTTTGTATTTGTGTTTTAACATAGTCAAATGGCAAACTGCAGGCCGAGGCAAAGAAACCAGACACTGCACTGGCTCCTGAACCAATAGCAATAAGAATTGGAAGTTACTACATACTGTACTATATTATATATGGGATTCAACTAAATATGTAGATCATAAAGTTGGTGACCAAGTAATTTACCTAACACTGTGGAAGTTTCTGTTAAACCAAGGGAATCCCGGAAAAATTCGACACTTTGATCATAGGAGGCAAGCATACCCATGTTAAGCGCCATGGCTCTGACGATTGTAGGGGCAGCTCCTTTCCATAGTGCCAAAACCCCTTCATCAGCAACAATACGGACGAGTGCATGGAATGCGTTTTTGTAGTGACGCCGTTGTGCCAGTGGTAAGGTTGCATCAGCTTGCATGCGGATCAGCGCTAAGTCTGCTGGGCTACCAATACATGCTCCAATAGCACCAGCACTCAAACCACACAAAGCCTTTTGATATAGGGGTAGAGGCTTCCCGTCATTAGCAGCAAGTGCTTTGTTGGTCAAAATCCTAATTATAAAGAAAAACCGGCTAAGTTGAGGGGTGGAGTTAGGTGGTTGTCATTTCGGACACAGCCAAAAATGATTTCAGAAGGGTGTAGTACTATGCTGTGGTTCATATAAGACTTGCTTGCTGCTTGGCAGAGGAATGAGTAAAGAGAGAAGTTTAATTCAGCAAAAGACGACAGAGTGCTGGAAAACGAGAGACTGACCTGAAAGATCCTAGACGGGCAGTTGTATAAGTGGCTTGCCTTAGCAAACCTGCGGATAGACCCTGTAGCCTCCAAAATAAAAGTACAAATTATGATGAGTATTGCATTAAAAAAATTAGGCTAATAGGGTAAGGAGTAGAACTTGGTATCCTTTCTTCTACTACTTGTTACGATTATGTACTACTTGCAAGTTCAACTGAAGCAATGGTTGTAAACTTGTAATTAGGCTACATCAAGAGAAGGCTGTAATATGACCCCTGGATTTACGGTGGATTTTTATTTCAGAAGTTGGATAACAGAAACTAAAGCTAAGCATGATGTAATTGGGCAACTAAGCTAGTATATGTATGTTTAACTTCCTGATGCAATTGTAGTGCACGCATCAATCATTGTGGTGGGAAGAATCCATATCAAAGTAAGGCTTTTAATTATATCATACACAAATTCCTTCCTAACAATACCACCCCCATGATTACCTTTATATCCCAATCCCATACTCACACTTTGTCATATTTATTTATGATTAGCAATAAGCAATCGATTCACATACACAAACATACATACAATATGTCTACAAAGTTAGTAGTAGTCAGACATGATTTTTTAATAGATCGATCATCAACTACTGTTTTACCTGTATTAGTCTGAAATCGCAACCAAATGTGGGCTTTTTGTTTAAAGTGATATATTGGGATAAGCAATACTTAGGTTGTAAGGGTGAGTGAGTGTGACACTATTATAGCACTCCGTAAAAACAATACAAGTAGAAGTAGATGGAAATGAATATCTTCTCAAAAAAAAAAAAGATGGAAATGAATATGAGTTGAAGAAGTAACCTTGTAAAAGGCAGAAAGACCCTCATCACGTAGCATATTCTTAGTCACATGGACTGCAGAACCTTGTCCCAGCTGAATTCTCACCTATTTAATTTGATTATTTAATCTTAATCATGCAATAAAAAATAGCATATACAAGTGTAAGAAAAGTATGTAGGTAATTTAATAAATAAATGAAATAGAAAAAAGGGTACCTTGACCATATCAATGGGCTGAATGACACAAGTAGCAAGCATACCAGAGGCACCTCCATTCACAAAGGGCTTGACTGTCTTCCATACTGATGCTGTGCTGCTTTTCTCCTCTCCCATTCCTTTTTATGAAACAGAGAATTAAGTAATTAGATGCCAAAGGAAAGAGATGAGAATGAGAATGGCTTATTAGTTATTACTCGTACTGTATCATCTGATCTGGTATGTGGACACATCAACAATAATCTCACACCTCAACTATTCTACACCTCTTCCTTCTTTTTAACTTACACAACACCATCCACACACTTGGAACTCTAACCCCTTTTTTTCCCAAGCGCGTAATCACAACTTCACAAGTGTCGCTTCTATTTTTCAATACTTTGGGTTGAAGATGAATATCTAACAATACTCCATACATCCATCATTCTTATATGGTAAAGGTTTGGCCCATTAAAGGCATGAAAGACAAGTTCATTTTGGGCCCTTTTAGAAAGAGCCGGAGAGGTTTCTTATTGGGCCCTTTCTTATCATCTGAACATGCACCTTAAGAGTGCCTGCCCACTTGCAATTGGTTTTAAATGACGTATTTATTGTTGTATGTGAGTCCCACTTGTTATCTACTGTAATGGTCAGTGCCAACCTATGTAAGCTGTAAAATACAAGTATATACCATATCACATGCCTCACATGCATTTATCAAATTATTAGACACTGTTTAGTATTCAGTCAATACTAAATAAGGCATCGTATTCGTGGTAATTAACTAATTAGAACTATTTATTCATAATCCTAACATCCTAATTTAATTAAGCAAGGACCACACGTGCATGGGAGTATATTGGCAATAATAAAATAGTATTACTCGTATCTAAAAAGAGTATTAGTGTATTATTAATTAATAAAGGCGGCATTTTTGTAATTGCTGATTGAGTGCTGTAGAGTTGTATCCACTCTGTTTGGATGAATTTTACTCTTTATCTTTTGCGAACGAACATTCTACTTTACTATTCTGAATGCAGTCATAACTCATAACATATGATGATATACTTTACTTTAATTTAATTTAGGTACACAGGATTCAAGACAACTAAGCTGCCCAGTGGATGTTGTGATGTTATCCTACTTAAAACGTCAACTTGCCAATCTTGGCTTTTTTTTTTTTTTAATATAAAAAATATTTCAGAATAGTTCAAGAAAAATAAATTGATGAAAATGTTGTTAATGAGCGCAGTACATCCAAGGTAAGATGAAAGGTCCTTTTAGTGAAAGTTACAGTGGGTTGGCCCAATCCATTTGAGATTGATTTGTGAGCAGAGGAGGCCCATTTATTGCTGGCACCATATGGCACCCGGGTCCTACTCTTTCATCCTACCAAGCTACCATCACTGCTTTTTTTTTTTTGGTTTTGTTTTCTTGTCTCTTCATAGGAAAGCTAATAGATGTTTGTTCCGCAATTGTCATTGACTAAAATAGGAATGAAAATACTTATTGAAGCTCGTTGTATAACTCATAGGATTATTAACCAAAATATAATAGGATAATTGGAGATATTAAAGAGTTTTGTTTTGAATAAAATGAATATATGATGCTTGGTTTACATATAGGTGTCCCCTACATAATAAGCATTAAATGAAGTAATATTAAGTATATAACATACCCTAAATGAGAATGAAAATATACTCAAATGTTTGTTATAATGTATAAGTAAAAGGGTGTGACACATATTTATTTGTTGGGATTGTTGTATATCAACATATGTATATTGATTAATAAAATTAATCCATTCATTATATTAAAAATGATAACACTTGTAGTTGACACAATATTTTAGGCAATAAGGACAATAAGTGAGTTGCTAACTATATATAAATAAGAATTACAGATCATAGTGAAAGAAAAATAGTATTGATCTATGTTACTTGGACTCTTTATTTCACTTCATGTACTCATGTCGTACCCTCGACACTCGGACACTTCATTTTCAGTTCAAAATCATGGAATTTTTTCACAAAATAGCCGAGTCAGACGCTTGAACACGTACCCGTGTTTGACATGGTACCCGAGTCCAAGTAACATAGGTATTGATCATATTTAATAGTTAGCTAACTATAACTATAGGTATAGTAAATGAATTAAGTGTAAAAGTTAGAGAAAAAAAAATGTAATGTCTAATATGTTACATTTTGACAAATGTTAGTGAAACGGATAGATTAAAAAGAGTGTAAAATGGAGCAGGCTATGGGCTGTAAGATCTGAATCTGATGGAAAAAAGAATAGCCAGGAAGAATAGTGGTAAAAAAAATCCAACGTCCGTCGGTTGGGTTTGGGACAATATAAAAATAAAAATAATAAAAAGAAAGGAGTCGTAGCTGTTATAATCAATCAAGTGGGAAATAAAATATCTGAAAGGCAAAGCAGAGTAGAAAGAAGAAGAGGGATCTTGAGTGATTGAATTCATTGATACCCAAAAAACGAATAAGAAAAGATGAGAGAGATAATAAGCATACACATAGGTCAAGCCGGTATCCAAGTTGGTAATTCATGTTGGGAGCTTTATTGCCTTGAACATGGCATTCAACCTGATGGTTTGATGCCCAGGTTTGTTTGTTTTTTCAATTTCATCTTATTACACAAGTATGTTCTATCAATTTCATCTTATTACACAAGTATATACAAGTATGTTTTATCAATTTCATGTTTTCGATCCATACATACATATTATCAAGGAATTATTGACAAAATTAATTATGCAGTGATAGCACAGTCGGTGTTGGGCATGATGCTTTTAACACATTCTTTAGCGAGACCAGCGCTGGTAAACATGTCCCTCGAGCCATCTTTGTCGATCTCGAACCCACTGTCATTGACGAGGTTCGAACCGGCACCTATCGCCAGCTTTTTCATCCTGAGCAGCTTATTTCTGGAAAGGAGGATGCTGCCAATAACTTTGCTAGGGGCCATTATACTGGTAACCTCATCTTACACCCTTGTTTTTTTTTTTTGTTTCTTTCATAATTCTTATTATTTGAATTATTAATTGAGTACGGAATACTAGCTAAGTAATTTTACATTTGCAGTTGGCAAAGAAATTGTGGACTTGTGTCTTGACCGAATCCGGAAACTGGCTGACAACTGCACTGGTTTACAAGGCTTCTTGGTCTTCAATGCTGTGGGTGGCGGTACCGGCTCTGGTTTAGGCTCTTTGTTGTTGGAACGCTTATCTGTTGATTATGGAAAGAAGTCTAAGCTCGGCTTCACCATTTATCCTTCACCTCAGGTTCCTACCTTTTCCATTTCCTCCTCTGTGTTTTTAATACCTACATAAACTACGAGTATAGTATCTGTTTTGATGATTAACCAATTGATTTCTAATGCCAGGTTTCAACAGCAGTTGTTGAACCTTATAACAGTGTCCTCTCCACCCATGCCCTGCTCGAACACACTGACGTTTCTGTGCTATTGGATAATGAAGCTATCTATGATATCTGTCGTAAATCATTGGATATTGAAAGGCCCACCTATACCAACTTGAACCGTCTAATATCTCAGATCATATCGTCCTTGACAACTTCCTTAAGGTTTGATGGAGCCATCAATGTTGACATTACTGAATTTCAGACCAATTTGGTGCCATACCCCCGGATTCACTTCATGCTTTCGTCTTATGCCCCTGTCATCTCCGCTGAGAAAGCATATCATGAGCAGCTTTCTATCCCTGAGATCACCAACGCAGTTTTTGAGCCCTCGAGCATGATGGCTAAGTGTGATCCAAGGCATGGAAAGTACATGGCCTGCTGCCTCATGTACAGGGGAGATGTTGTGCCTAAGGATGTTAATGCCGCTGTTGCTACCATCAAAACCAAAAGGACTGTTCAGTTTGTTGACTGGTAAGGCCAAAGGTTATGCTTCAAGATTAGCATGAATTTTTAGCTAGAGAGATAAAGAGAGGATTTCAGCCCTTTTACTCCTTTTTTGTTTCTGTGTAGGTGTCCAACTGGCTTCAAATGTGGTATCAACTATGAGCCTCCAACAGTTGTACCAGGTGGTGATCTTGCCAAGGTGCAACGAGCTGTGTGTATGATCAGCAACAACACTGCTGTAGCAGAAGTTTTCTCACGGATCGACCACAAATTTGATCTCATGTATGCCAAGAGAGCATTTGTTCACTGGTATGTTGGTGAAGGCATGGAAGAGGGAGAGTTTTCTGAAGCTCGTGAAGATCTGGCTGCTCTTGAGAAAGATTATGAAGAAGTTGGAGCTGAAGGAGTGGATGACGAGGATGAAGAGGAAGAATACTAATGTGAATTTCCATGATAATCATGGACAGGATGTGTTGAATGCCCTAGTCACTGTGTCGACTTTGAATTTTTCAGTGTTAATCTTTTAGTGCTTCAGGCAATGAAATTATAGAATATCGACTCCTGTAGTGGATACATGTCTGTCTTGTTGAACTGAATGATTTTCCTCAAATGTAGTATCTGTTTCATGACGAAGTCATCATTTAAACTACTAATAGTTGTTTCTCTAGAATTACTTCCTCCCGCCTCATGTTCTTTTATGTGGGTCTATCCTAACATATGCAGGTTCACTTAATTCATCCCTCGCAGTATTAAGCCAATATAAATCATGTTTGTTCTCCTGCATGCAAAGTGTTTAATTCTGTTCTATTCTAACTAATCTTTTCACTTACTCCTAGGTTTCAACTCTATAGTACAAAGGGTTTAGCTTTTCAGCATGTAAGCTTTCTTTTATGGAGGCTGTTGAATGGAATTTCTGATGCAGGACACGCTTAATTTGATGTTCTCTCATTTACAGCTGCTTTGGTCAAGGTAAGTTTGGTAAGGGTAGCTGAATATGCTTCAGACAAGATAGCAACTTGTAAGTGCTACGGAGTAATATGCTAGTACTATATGTTTGCTTCCTAAGGATAATGTGAATTTGTGATTACCTAGAAACCTAGTTTGTTAACAAATAAAAAAATATGACAATCTGCTTTCTGTGATAATGCTGTGTAACTCCCCGCTCAACCACGAAATAAGAATGTTGGGAAACCAGGGGGGGAAAAATTACAGTGAGAAAAGAAATATATATCGGTCCATCCATAAATGACAACATAATACAATTGGATCTATTGTAAAAATTCACATATTCCCTAATTGCGACTCCCTTTCTTTGAAGAAATTAAGTTCTAAACTAGAAGGAAGCAAACAAGCAATGAACCTGGTTTTAGATGATCAACAGTGCTTGCTGTCATATTTAGGGAGACACTGTCTTCCTATGTTTCCCAGTGGCTATACATTTGTAACAGGAAAAAAATCCATGAATTAAAGAGAAAACTGGTACGATGTGGGAAAAATAACCAGACATTTAACCAAGACAAAAATTATGATAGAGCATGGGAGGGTCCCAGCTAGGTGTAGCAGGATCATCGTTTGAGTTGCATGCATTGAAAACACTCTGCAGGTAATCATTCACTCCATTCATTGCATAGAGTGATGCTGATATCTGCCTCTCTACCTTCATGCGCTCGAATTCTAGCATAGCTACCTCATTGGCATTGCTCGTCATCCCTCCTGCTTCGATCGATGTGGTGAAGGTGAGCTGTTTTGTAAACATTTCCAAATCATCATCAGGAATCGGAGGAGGGAACTGCTGGGGAAATGCCCACGAGCAATCAAATTGTCCACTTACATCTGGCCTATATGCATTTTCATCCAGTAATTGACCTGTAAAACTGACGGCTTGGCTGAGAACCAAGCTAGCATTTGCAACATTATCAGCTGCCTTCATGCTTGATGTGATTATTGGAGGAGTTGGAGGTGATTGGTTGTTGTTTCTGATCAAGCTCTTTTTCTGATTGACTAGGTTTCTGATTCTACGAGTGAGAGCAGAGTTGGCATTGCTTGAGGTTGGAGTATTGACAAAATTGGTTCGTGTGTTGGAACCGCGAAGGAGGCAAGCGGCTTCATCATAAGCCCGAGCAGCCTCCTCAGCTGTGTCAAAGGTGCCTAACCAAATCCTTATCTTCTGAGTAGTGTTTTTGATTTCTGCAACCCATTTCCCTGACGGTCTCTGCCTGACACCCACAAACTTGTTCTTGGTGGGAGTTTTGCTGCTGCTCTTCACCTTATTACATGTCTGTTTCAGTTTGCTCTCTTTGTGCTGTAGCTGCTGGAATTGAAATTCCATTTGCAAAAAAGAATTATTGATCTCAGAAATGAGGGCAAAAGAAAAATGCAAGTAGCTAGCAAGATTAAGACTTGGAGAAGAAGCAAAGGCAATATTGTTTATATACAAACACGGTAGTACAGTAATGAAGATGATAGTGGGAGCCTCGTCTTTTGCATTCCTTGTTCATAATATGTAATTTTAGAGCTTATTAAGAGTCAATGGAATGAGTAAACAAATCATAATTTATTTTCTCTTTCTTTAGAATAATAGACTTCGTGCTCTACCTCTTCTTTCGAGCTGATAGTCATTTAATTTTATTATCATTACACATTTACACAGACAGACATTCTCTGTTTGACTGCTTCAGGTTTGTTAATAGTACGTACTAGCTTAATCAGTAGGCAGAAATTCATTCGTGTTACCAAGTAGCAGTACATCTGAAAATCCTTTGTGTCAGGTGTGCGCCCAAAGGATTCCAGGGACTATTTGTTGGTTTTATGGTTTATCATTAGGGAGAGGGCTTAATAATTTCGTAGCATAAGATATAATTTAGCTGTTTTTCCCATTGATCTGCTAATGGCAGTTAGCAGTTATACCTTAGCAATGACCAAGTAATGAGAAAGGAAAAACTTGATTATCATTTAGATTTTAGATCAAACCCAAATGCAAGGTACCAACAGAATTAAGAAATTACTCAGTAGATTTAGCTAATTAGCCTATTATTCAAAGAAGGCTGATTTTTTAGAGAAACTGATCTCATAGAAGTATAGATAGGAGACATGCTCAATTACAGCTGCATGATCTGTGATCTGCTGCCAGAAAAGCAAAGAATCATCATCTTCTAAAATGTGACGAGGCAAAAAGGCTTTTTGTTTAAAAAATTATGCGTATCAAACAAAATACAATATTATAATAGGAGTCGATGTATGTTAACTAACTTAGTTGGTGTTAAATATTTAAGGATGATATTCAAAAAAATGAAAACAAATGCCTTAAAAAAATACAGTGATAGGAATCCAGTTATAAATTTGTAGAAGAGGAGGTGGGGAGCAGGGGCGATGGGGGGTGGTGGAGTGGGGACCCGACTAAGAAAGAGCCAATATTCATATTCATATTTTACAGAACTGGGTCAAAGCAATTATAATCGTGGTGGCACGCAATATGGTCTCCCTAAATTGATTAATTTAGTCTCATTACTATTATTATAATAAAAACAAAATCAAGTGAAAATAAAGTTAAAGAAGGAAAGGAATCAATAAACAATACACTTATAATTATATATCGTGTGACCGACCAAATGAGTAGAAGGCTACGAGTCATTAATAGGTATTTGGATATGAGTTATTCTAATGACAAGTATAAATACTTTTCAAATTATAATAGATTCGTTCCGATATGATAGACTGTTTGGAACAAAACCATGAAATAAACTGAAGACTTAGTTTACAATTCGCTAGCCTATTCATGCATGCATGCAAATCATGCAATGCACCTGCTCATGAATCTCTCTTCCTTTATTTTAACCCATTTTCCAAACTTGTTCAAACCAAAGAATTAATTTTTCAAAAACATCCAAGGTGCACATACATTAGACGGATCATCCAAGGTGCAGAATTAACAAGTCACCATAATTCAATTGCACCCAAATTTTCAGACTGCAAACAAGAACTTCACTCTTTTTGGCACACTAATTATTCAAACTTCCCCAAAAAAATAACAAATTACAATCGAGAATACTTCTTAACGAATAAAAATTTAAGTAATATATTGGCCAAAACTGCATCAAGAATCACCTCCTTTGACGATTCTTGAAACCTCCCAATGCAATATCATCCCAAAACTTCTCTAATCCAGAGACCGATGTATAATTTTTTCACCTTCACTATACAACACTATAACTATGCATTATATCTATAAAAGCACCTTGTGGGCCCTCGACCACCAAGAGATGCCTGAGCAAATGTGACATTCACAAATGAATGAAGAGGTGATGCATGTTGACAAAGAATATGTAGCTATTGCATGCAAAACAACAGGAATAAAGTTGTGATGATTGAAATCTTCCTCAATTGAAAACCTAGGATGAAAGGATCGACTGCAAAGTAATCTGCTGCTGTGGTTGCAATGAAGACCATGTTGAAGCCAATGTAGCTGGCGGTAAAGTTTGCTGGAGATGCCTCAACAGATTAACCATTCTGCCGGCAGTTTGCTCTGTTGCTAAATCTTTACCAGCACAAAGAACCTAAACAAACAACAATTTTTGGTTTAAAAATTGGCTACTATTGTGCAAAGTATTATACACCATCCAAATAAAAATCGTTTAAAAGTTACAACTATCACCGGTCATACAAATTTGATTATAATTTGATGATGATACACATAAGCTGTAAACATATACTTAACAGCTTCTTGTACAAAGTTTAGCATGGACCAATACATTCATACAGATAGAGAAGATGACTAGTCATTACACCCTATATAGAGACATTCCTACCCAAGTCATTACATCCTCTTATACACAATAGAAACAAGGTGAGCTTGTGAAAAAAGTTCGAACCTAATCATCCTCGCAAATAAATACCAGAGCCTTAAGGGTGAAACAGATTAAGAGAGAAAGGAGCAACAAAAAACCTATTCTAGTTCCACCATGGCACACCGCACCAATTGTCCAACCCCATGATCAATCGAAGACAACTCTCTTATAACCCTTGACGGGAGGCAGAAAAAATAGGCTACAAATAATACTACTCCAAACTCTACCAAAGAAAACCGCGAACTAAATACTAGAACCACCTAAAACTGATCTAAGAAAAAATAAAAGAAACTGAACCAAACTAGTAACTATACTTTTTTTTTAAAAAAAAAGAAAAAAGAAATTGCAAAGAAAATTAATTAAAAGAATAGGACTTCAATAAACGGCCAAATGGACAATAGGATTCAGCAAACAAAGGACAATCAACAGACAGACAAACCTTTGAACGGAAGAAATTATAGAGCAGGAATCAAGAAACGAAAGGAGGGATTAAAGACAGCACACAAACATTCAGAATCGATGTTTCAAGCTGAAGAGACAGCGAGGAGAACATGGTAATGCAGATCTGGCAGCGCCTCCCACACAATACCACTCATGGTGGCAATCAAGGGACAACGCAAGGCAGTGCTCAAGTCTGAGACACCAGATCCGAGAAAAACTAGCATTGAAAGCTGAGAAAAGATTCCACCAACCTATGGCATGATCCAACTCAGGACAGCTGGACATTAAAGACAAAAGGCTAATGAAGAAGCAACTTATTCAGCCTCTTCGTAAAAAAGATCTTAAGTTTCTTCAAGAAATTGGCATAGAGAGGATCTGAATAGAACTTGGAGCTTAAGAATGGAGGCTAATAGAATCTTCCTAGGGTTTTTTGTGTTGAGGTTTTTTATGGACCACGTTTGTTTATCATGGTTACCAGTCATTACACCCTATTGAAGACATTCACTCTCAGTCAGTCGCTATATGGATTCGAAACAATTAAATTATTATGAGAACGTAACACTCTGATGACCAGCAGAGTGATTTTCACAAAATTCAATATGTCGAAGTTTACAGTTACAGAAAGACCTTGGTGAGAAAAGAACACATATGGTAAGAATTTAAAACAGAGACGTACCTCTGCAAAGACCAGAAATATCTTAGGTACATGTTGATTGTTGGGTCCCAAGAGTTCCACATCAGACCTAAAGGCAATCAAATGTAACATTTAAGACTTTTGTTATTGACCAGGAGTGCAAAGACAAGGTAGCAGAGCTCCAATGCTCACCTTTCAACCATACAACAAAGCTGATCATGAACAACTTTGGCCTCAATTAAGTCTCCTTTAATGGGCAAACAGCTTAGCCATGCAGGAATAACCTGCAGAAGACCAGAGGGAAACCTCAGAAGTAATCCCAGGATCTATAATTGATTACAATGTCATATGCCCATATTAAACAAGACACTGTCCCAGCATCAAATTGAGATGTGGGTTAAATAATGACATATGAAGCAAATAGTAAGTTGCAAAACCAAGAATGGCAAGAAACAAAAAACATGACACAAAAACTCTTTTATACCATCCACAATAACCCAAGGATATGATAATTAGATACATGATGCTTCTTAAGTTTTGATTTAATGAAGTACACCCTTGCTTGTTTTCAACCTTCCACGCCACATGTACAAAACATTTATGTCATTACTACAAACATGCTAAACATACACCATTCGTCCATTACATCTACAATTATATCACACAAGGAATGCAACACAGCACAGCACAGAGCCTTCATAAACTCAATGTGATCAAAACACATCTTCAGAAATGTCATATATAAAGTATGTACAGCACATTAAAAAAAAAAAAAAAAAGGCTGCCTAATTGGAAAATCTAACAAAACTAACCTGTGATGAATCAATACTATCCCTATGAAATTGACATATCTTTCCCAGAGCTGATACTGCATTATCATATGCCATTATATTTTCAGGCTGAAGGGCATGAGGATGCTGGATAACAGCATTTAGCCTTGAGAGAGCCTCTGTTTAATAAATTTACAAAAAAAAAAATAATGATAATAATTAAATTCCATCTGAAGGGATACGCACATCAAAGGTAAGAAAGTAGATGGAAATCTACCCCCCACTAGTGGCTTGAAAACTGAACCGCCAAACTCTGCACACACGCCCAGTCCATAGACAGCAGCCTGAATAAAATCATGTAAATGAAGTGAGAACAGACGACATAGTAAAGTATGGTTCAAACAAGAATGCATGCATCACCCACCTGTCGGACATCTGGATTTTCATCATTGCAGGCTTCAAACAAGAAAGGCAAGTATGTGTCATAATATCTGCCCCACCAAAATAAAAAAAAAGTTAGAATATCTGACAAAATAATGGCATGTAATAATACTCCATATTATAAAATAGTTACACTATGCTTTTTCAGGCTCCAGTGCAATATATATATGTGTGTGAAGCTCATGTAAGATATTTTACA